CTTCTTCTTCTTCTTCTTCTTCTTCTTCTTCTTCTTCTTCTTCTTCTTCTTCTTCTTCTTCTTCTTCTTCTTCTTCAAGACAGTGTTTCTTTGTGCAGCCTTGGCTGTCTTGAACTTGCTTTGTAAATCCAGCTGGCCTTGAACTCACAGAGATTGCCTTGCCTCTGCCTCCCTGAGTGCTAGGAGTATGGGCATGTACCACCAGGCCTGGCTTTCAAATTTGTATTATTAAAGAAATATTTACAATGGAAAAAAGCTTACTTTATTTAATTTGCCTGTTAGCTTAAGACCCTAAAATATGAGTTCTCAGATAGTTAAAAATGTGCAAATATACTGATGATGAGTTAAGGTAATGTCTTCCTCATTGCCTTCACTACTAAAATCTGCGTCTTTATTAGTTCTTGACTAATAATTGTTTTAAAAGTGGAGAGAAGCTGTTAACACTGATGCAAATTATCATATGATAACAACTGTAAGAGGAAAAATAGTTTGTTCTGAATGCCATTTTTCATGTTTTACCGTCTGTCACAGGTCAGTTTTCCTAAAAATCCATTCAATTTTAAGTCTAATGGTTAATAAATATCCATGTATTTAAAAATATTTCTAACAAATGGTTATCATTACGTGTAACATTTCTAAACTTAAAAATTACTTTTTTAAAAAAATTACTTTTTAAAACAATTACTTTTTTAGTTTTATACAGATGTATGTGTGTATGTATATGTGTGTGTGTTTGTATTTGTGTTCAATGCACACAAATGCCAGAGCTGTCAGGTTCCGTGAAGCTCTAGTCACTGATGATTGTGGTTAGTGGTTATTTGATGTGGGTGAATTTAACTGAAGGTGGGTCCTTTGCAAAAGCAGGATGTTCTCTTAATTGCCCAATTTATCTGTCTAGTCCCCAAATGTGCTTCCAAAATTAGAATGAAGTACAATTTCCTGTTATAGTGGTTTTATATGATAATTCACATTAGTGATAACAGATGTTAATCACTGTATTTTTGAATGCTGGACAGAACAGAACTATTGCAGAAAGGAGTATTTTATTATTTGTAATATAAGTAAATTGTAAACGTATTTTTAAATAAATTTTCTCTTGTTTTTACAGACGTTGTCCATTGGTGTTCTTGATATTTTTGGGTTTGAAGATTATGAAAATAATAGTTTTGAACAATTCTGTATTAATTTTGCTAATGAACGTTTACAGCACTACTTTAATCAACATATCTTTAAGTTGGAGCAAGTGAGTATCTAAATAAGTGTGTTTGCCCTCTTGCTTAAACTCCTGAATCATTGTCATAACTGTTTTATGGTTTATATTTTGAACCAATCCTAAGAAGTCCAATCAACTTGCGGACTGTTGACAAAAGTATCACTACCAACCCTCTTGCTACGAGACACTCCTGGGGACCACTTCCCCAGCACTCTTCACCTTACTGGCCTACTAGGTGTGTGGACACCAAAGCAATCATTTTCTCCCCACAGATGTGTATCTTGGCTGTCTGGCAGGCACACTTCTCTGTGTGACCATCTTGATGTCAACAGAACCCGTGAGAAGCTAGTTCCACATATGTAACCAACCCTGTCCTACCCAGTCAGTGAGGTTAAAGGAGACAGCCATTCCGTACCATATCTGTTACTGTTTTGTCTGGTTAAAATCACCGCAAGAACTTCTCAGTAGAAAGAGATTCTAACTTTGACCTCTGATACATTCAAGACTTCGTAGGAATGAGGCCATGGTCTCAGCTTGGGCTCGTGGCTTGTCTGCTCTGGGTGCTGTCTCAGACAGCTTGTCATGGTCTACATCTCTTGAGCTGCCTTTTCCACCTTGCTCTTCTACATAAAGAGCTTGTTGCAGGATTGGTCTTTACCTTCCTCCAGTAAGATGCAATGTTTGTGCTTGTTTGGGTGTGCCAAGGGTGCAGTGCCGTAACTGAGGGACCAAGAATGGCAATGTCTTACCACCAAGTGCGTTCAGATATTGTTGAGCCTGTACAGGAGTTGATTCATCAGATACCTGCCACATTGTTCAAGAGCAAAGTGCAGTCTCTGTACACAGAAATGTCTATTTTTTCAACACACATACTTAAGACTTTATCTGAAACATTATTGGAGCATTTATCCTTACTTAGACATAAGCATTGTCTTCTTCTGTGTCCTGACAAGGCTGCATACCCCCCTCCCCCTTCCCCCGCCCAGGGGAAGATGATCAGAGAGCCAAGCAGGCCACTGAGTTCATGCCAGAGCTAGCTACTGCTCCCCTTATTAGGGAACCCATCTGGAGACTGAGTCTATGGGCTACATCCGAGGAGCGGTTGTAGGTCCTCTCTGTGCATGGTCCTTGGGTGGGCTATCAGTCTCTGCAGGGTCCCCTGGGCCCAGTTTTTTTTTTTTTTTTTTTTTTTTGGCTTTGTTGGTCTCCTTACCAGTCCATAAAGGAACACAAAGAAGCCAGTCCTGATGAGACCTGATAGACTAGGGTCAGATGAAAGAGGAGGAGGACCTGCCGTATCCATTGGACTGGGGGAGGGGCATAGGAGAAGAAGAGGGAGGGTGGGATTGGGAGGGATGAGGGAGGGATCCACAGCTGGGATACAAAGTGAATAAACTAATTAATAAAAGTAAAAAAAATAATAAAGTCTCAATTATTTGTGTGATAGCCAGGTTAAGAGAGAAACCTAGAAACAAACACAATTTTGTAAAAATAACCGTAACAAAAGACCTGTACAATGAGGTCTTGAAAATACTGGAGAAAGGAAATGGAGGAACTCAAAGATGGAATGATTTTTCATGATCATGAATTACAAGAATTGTAAACATAGCTGTACTGTCAGAAGTGTGATATAAATTTAGAGCAGTTGCCATCAGTCACTTATTCACAGAAGTAACCAATCCTAAAAAAAATCACACAGAAGTGCATGGTCCCAAACACAAAGAATGATGCAGGGTATACCATTAAACCAGATTTTAAGCTATAGTAAAGAGTCATAATAACAAAAACATGGTACTAGTCCTTACACAGCCATGTTGAGCAGTGAAATAGTTAGATAACCTAGGTGCTGCTGCAGCCTAGTTAAATAAGCACTTTGTTGTCATAGGCCTGTTTTTTCTGCAAGATCAGTAAGTTGATGTTTGTTTTTTCCAGGAGGAATATAGAACTGAAGGTATCAGTTGGCACAACATAGATTATATTGATAATACATGTTGCATAAATCTTATTAGCAAAAAACCAACAGGCCTGCTTCATCTTCTGGATGAAGAAAGCAAGTGAGTATGGTGCTTTCCACTGTCCTAACTGACCACGGTGCTTTACTGTGCTTCCCTTTTGTTTGAGACAGGGCCTCACCGCGAAACTGTGGCCAGGTTGGGACTAGGACTGATGCAGCCCCAGGGGAGCCTGAGACTCAACCTTAGTCCTTATCTTAGGCTCTTCAGTGCTAGCTATACAGCATGTACCGCCAATTAGCTTACGTCTAAGTAAGAATAAACGCTCCAATAATGTTTCAGGTAAAGTCTTAAGTATGTGTGTTGAAAAAAATAGATATTTCTGTATACATAGACTGCACTTTGCTCTTGAACAATTTTTTTTTCAGAGTCCTCTTAACATGGTTTGATGTTAAAATTTTTGATACAGAGCCTGGCGCTATGTCACACACCTGTAATCTCAGCATTTGGGGAGGGAGAGGCAGACAGATCTCTGAATTCAAGGCCAGCCTGATCTACAGAGCAAGTCTAGGACTGCCAAGGCTACACAGAGAAACCCAGTTTCAAAAAAACCCAACTTTCCCTCCCCTCCAACCCCCACAAATTGTTACATATTTCTTTATTCTTGAGCATTTTACATATATATGCAATGAAATATGATTACATCCATCCTTTCTTTCTCCTTCAACTCCTTCCAGCAGTCCTAATTTCATGTCCTGTTCCCTTCCCTCACTTTTTTTGGTTGGCATGGAAGATCCACCTGCCTCTGCCTCCTAGTTGCTGGGATTAAAGGAATGTACCATCATACTTGGCTATTGTTTTGATTATCAACTAAGTCTACTTCTGCATATATGCTGGGATGTGGATCCACCCACTGGAGCATGGGAAATCTACCACTGGTTACATCCTGGCATATATTTTTTTTTTAAGATTTTTCTTTCCGCCTCCCTTTTTTTCTACTTCTTAGACAGGGTCTTGCTAAATAGCCTGGTTTGCTCTCGAAGCTGAGATCTTCTGCCTCCTGAGTGCTGGCATTGCTGGAATGTAATAGCTCACTCAACTCTTAAATGAGTTTTCTTTCTTTATTTATTTACATTTTATTTGAGGGTGGAGTGTGTTCATGCTGTTGTGCTTGTATGGAGGTCAAAGGACAACATGAAGAAAGAGTTGCTCTCCTTTTCCTGCATGGGTTCTGGGGATGAGATTAAAGTTGTTGGGCTTGGAGAAGATGCCTTTACCCATTGAACTAAGTTTTGTACAGGAAATGTGCTTGTTTTTAAATGAATAATAATTTTAAATGACTTCTCCCACCCCCAAAACAACAACAACAGTAACACATATTTGTGAGTGTTGGTTGAATATCTGACCTGAAAGAGCTTTTCTTATTATGTCTATTTAAGTCTTTCTTCTTACATCTTCTTCTTCAGAAACTTTTTTTTCTCCATTTCAAGAAGAGAAAAACGTTTATCTTGTAGTTTTAAATCACCCTGAGTGTTAGGGAGAAGATAAACTGTTGCCTACACAGTGAGATGAGTGTCTTCCTAGAAGAGCAGAGCACTCCAGTGAGTTGTAGTTGGAGAGTGCTAGGCTTTCCAAGGCTGCAATTGGAGTTGTCCACTCTTTTCACCTTTGCTATTCATAAATTCTCTGAATAGGAATACCACACAATTAAAACACTGTTAAAGGGAGATTGATTTGACAATAGGCTTTGTGATTTCAACCCAGTGGGATTAGAATTGGTGATAGTGGTGCAGAACTACAGCTTCTTCAGACTGTAAGAACAATAATCCTTTCTCAAACGGCTCTAGAGTTTCTAGTGGACATAGGACTTTTTAGGACAGGGTGAAATTTGAATGCAAAAGCCAACCGGTAGTAGAACCATGTTTTCAGTGTTGAGAACATACAAAAGGCTGGAGAGTGATTGTGCTTCTCTTTAATCCCAGCTCCCAGGAGGCAGAGGCAGGTGGATCTCTTGAGTTAGAGACCAGAGTGAGTTTTAGGACAGCCAGACCTATATAAAGAAAACCTGTCTTGACCCCCTTCCCAAAAGAGAGATGGGGAAGGGAACATTCAAAAGTCTGTTAACATTTGCTTAGTCCCTGTATGGTGGCAGGTAGCGTTTGATTTTATTAGTAGTGGAAGTTTTGGTTTCTTTGTAAATTCAGTTATGTTATGTTCATATGTTTTTGTTCTAATCCCAAGTGTGGGCTATAGTTTGTCCACAGCTGTTAATTGTCTCATGTGGGCATGTCTTTTGTCAGCTGGTAAAAGCCTTACACATGCAGCACGGAGAGGGGCGTGGTCTAGGACTCTCAGACTATAAATAGAGAGCCCAGAGAAGGTTTGGGGGGTGTTCAGTGTGGCTGGGTGCCATATAGCAGTTTGGAGAGACCCAAGAGACAGAATGTGTGGCAGTTTGAAGTAGACACACTTGAGAGAACCACTTCAGGGTACAGCGGCTGAGGAGACTGCCTGCAGCATCTGCTGTTGATGGAGACTGATACAGAGCCGTAAAAGAACCCATTGACCTTAATGAGCCAGGAGAAGTAAAGGAGTCTGGGCTCCTCCCCACTAACCTTCTCTCTCTTACCTAGGGTTGGAGGTTAGAAGGGAAGTTGAGGCCTAAACACCCCAAATGAAGTAGAGTTTAAAAAATGAGCGTTACATATGAGCATGCTATACCTATCATTGTACTTATTTGGTGAACTAGAAAACCATTTATGAAAGGTTACTTGTCTTGTTTCAGGACACTGACAGAACTGTTAATATAAGCTAGTATGATCTAGTGGCCATTCTCTTTCCTGACTTTACTATATGTATATTAACTGTTTTTGTTAAAAATTTGAATAATTTTTATACATTTAGCATCATCATAACCATGTCACAATATTACTCATTACTTATGCTAACATTAAACTATTATCTGAAAGATTCTTCTTTTTCTGTCACATTTTCTATTTGGAACTCCTAGTAATTAGTCACTTCCATTAGGGTGATGAAAATATCTGAGGAAAGATAAAAGAAGGAAAAATTTTAGTCTGTGTCTCAGTTTAAAAGGCTTCAGTCTGTTTCCTTGGCTCAATTCCTTTGGGCTTGAGGAGGCTGCTCAACCCAGGATATCCTAGAAGCAGAGATGGGTTGAAGGTGGGCCATTGTTACCCACTTTTTTGAATTAGGCCATACCTCCTAATAGTTTGTTTATTTGTGAATTCATTTATGACCCTGCCATCCTTGAACACTGCAGCAGTGAGGACTAAGCTCTAAATGCTCAAGTCATCAGGAAACATTTCATGTACAAACCATAACTCTTGGCTCCTGGCTCCCAAAGGCTCATTTCTGGCTCATAATGCAAACTCGTCTACTTCCAAGAGTCCCTGCAATTTTATTAGTTTGAGCTTTATCCCAACGTTCAAGTCTGGAAGGCAACTTTTAGTTGTGATCTCTTATAAAATTAAGGATGCAAGTTGTAAACATTGAACATATAGTGGTAAAGGCAGGCATAGGATCAGCATTCTTTTTTAGAAGGTAAGAATGGGAGCATAGAAAAGAAGGTCCAGGCCAAGGTAAAACTGAAACCCACTAGGGCAACATTAAATCTTGAACATCCAAATCTATCATCCAAGTCAACATGGTGGTATAATCTGAACTCTCATGGCGCTTGAGCAGCTCCACCTTTAAGGTTTTGAAATCTTCTGCTTTCCTGGCACCTCTCTGAAGCGGCTTGCCAATGGCATTCCTTGAAGAACTTCATGTTTTTGCCATCTCCAAATTCTTGGAGTTTCCATCACAATTTGGGCTCACTCATAGACCTCTTCTAGGTTTCTGACTCTGCACAGTCTTGGCTCTGCGCGGTCTCCTTGGCCTCCCTAGCCTTCCTGTGAAATCTGGTGGAATCCCTCACAGTCCCACAACATCTCTTACATTTTGCGTATTTGCAGAAAACCTGTATCACCAGGATGGCACTAACTGCTTTTTGTGCAGTCTTTACTGTTGGGACCTGTTTATCATTGGCTGTAGTAACTTCTTGAGTACCTGGGTAGTGGCCATAGGAAAATGAACCTTGGGAAAACAGTTTTCAGTAGGCCTTGTTTGAAGAAGCTATGAGGAGCTCTTTTATACTCTTTTTAAAAATTAATTAATTTTTTTATTTACAGTTTATTCACATTGTATCCCAGCTGTAGCTCCCCTCACTCCCTTTCTCTTCTCCTCCCATGCCCCTCTCCCAGTCCACTGATGGGGAGGTCCTCCTCCCCTTCCATCTGACCCTAGCCTATCAGGTCTCATCAGGACTGGCTGCATTGCTTCCTCTGTGGCCTGGTAAGGCTGCTCCCATCTCAGGGGAAGGTGATCAAAGAGCAAGCCACTGAGTTCATGTCAAGAGACAGCCCCCGTTGCCCTAACTAGGCCACCTACTTGAATACTGAGCTGCCATGGGCTACATCTGTGCAGGAGTTCTAGGTTATCTCCATGCATGGACCTTGGTTGGAGTATCAGTCTCAGAAAAGACCCTGTGTCTAGATTTTTTTGGTTCTGTTGCTCTTCTTGTAGAGCTCCTATCTCTTCCAGGTCTTTCTATCTCCTCCTTCTTTCATAAGATTCCCTGCACGCTGCCCAAAGTTTGGGTATGACTTTCAGCATCTGCTTTAATAATCTGGTGGGTAGAGTCTTTCAGAGGCCCTCTGTAGTAGGCCCCTGTCCTGCTCCCTATTTTCTCCCTCTTCTGATATCCATCCCATTTTCCTTTCTGAATGAGGATTGAACATCTTACCCAGGGTCCTCCTCCTTGCTTAGCTTCTTTAAGTGTTCAGATTTTAGTACATTTATCCTATTTTATATGCCTAATATCCACTTATAAGTGAGTATGTACCATGAGTGTCTTTCTGCTTCTGGGATACCTCACTCATGATGATCTTTTCTAGATCCCACCATTTTGCCTGCAAATTTCATGATTTCCTTTTTTAATTGCTGAGTAGTATCCCATTGTGTAAATGTACCACAATTTCTGTATCTGTTCCTCAGTTGAGGGGTATCTGGGTTGTTTTCAGATTCTGGCTACTGTGAAGCAAGCTGCTACAAACTTGGTTGAGCAAATGTCCTTGTTGTACACTTGAGCCTAGTTTGGATATATGCCTAAGAGTGGTATAGCTGGATCTTGAAGTAGCGCTATTCCTAATTTTCTGAGAAAATGCCAGATTGATTTCCAAAGAAGTTATATAAGTTTACATTCCTACCAGCAATGGAGGAAGGTTCCCCTTTCTCCACATCTTCTCCCGCATGTATTGTCACTTGAGTTTTTGATCTTAGCCATTCTGATGCATGTAAGTTGAAATCTCAGGGTCACTAGAGCAGTAAGACAACTAAAGGAGATCAAGGGGATACAAATCAGAAAGAAAGAAGTCAAAGTATACATGAGTGATCCCCAAAATTCAACCAGAGAACTCCTTCAGCTGAGAAATACTTTCAGCAAAGTGGCTGGATACAAAATTAACACAAAAACAAAACAAAAGAAGAAAACAAGTCAGTAATTCTCCTGTATATGAAAGACAAAATGGCTGAGAAGGAAATTAGGGAAACAACACTCTTCAAAATAGCCACTAATAACATAAAGTACTTTGGTGTGACTCTAACCAAGCATGTGAATGACCTATTTGAAAAAATCTTCAAGTCTCTGAATAAAGAAATTGAAGAAGATATCAGAAGATGGAAAGATCTCCCATGCTCATGGATCAGTAGAATTAACATAGTGAAAATGGCCATCCTGCCAAAAGCAATCTACAGATTCAGTGCAATTCCCATCAAATTACAAACACAATTCTTTACAGACTTTGAAAGAAAAAATTTTCAACTTCATATGGAAAAATAAAAAAACCCAGAATTGCTAAAACAATCTTGTACAACAGCAGATCGTCTGGATGTATCTCTATCCCTGATCTCAAGCTGTACTACAGAACAGTAGTAATAATAACTGCATGGTACTGGCATAGAAACAATGGTGGATCAATGGAATCGAATAGAAGACCCAGAAGTAAACCCACACACTTACGGATACCTGATTTTTGACAAAGATGCCAAAACCATATGGAAAAAAGACAGCATCTTCAACAAATGGTGCTAGTTTACCCTGATGTCCTCATGTAGAAAAATGCAAATAGATCCATACTTATCACTCTGCACAAAGCTATAGTCCAAGTGGATCAAAGACCTCAATATAAAACCATACACACTAAATCTGTTAGAAGAAAACATGGGAAAGACCCTTGAACTCATCCTGAACAGAACACCAACAGCACAGGCTCTAAGATCAACAGTCAATAAATGGAACCTCATGAAACAGAAAAGCTTCTGTAAAGCAAAGGACACTGTCACCAGAACAAAACAACTGCCGGCAGACAGATTGGGAAAGGATCTTCACCAACCCTGCATCTGACAGAGGGCTAATACCCAGTGTATATAAAGAACTCAAGAAGTTAAACAGCAACAAATCAGTTAATCCAATTAAAAAAATGGGGTACCAAGCTAAACAGAGTTCTTAATAGAGGAATATTGAAATACAGGGAAACAAAGAAATGCTAAACATCCTTAGTCATCTTTTACACTCTTGAGCTTGCATTTTCCTTGAAGTTCCTGTAATGCCCTGTTATCACCATATAAAACTTGAAAGTAGTCTTTTTTTCTGAATTACAAGTTTGTCAAATCTGTCTGGTCTGATTTTTGGTGGTGATCTTCAGGGTATGACAAAAAGTAGCCGATAGTATGCATCACACAACTGAATTGCTTGTCTTGAAATTACCTCCCCAGATTAATTAACCAGTTATTTAAAAAAAATTAATTCTTTTATCTATCTATCTATCTATCTATCTATCTATCTATCTATCTATCTATCTATCTTTAATTCTTTATTAATTATACTTTATTTACTTTGTATCTCTCCTGTGGCTCCCTTCCTCCTCCAGTCCCAATCCCTCCCTTCCTCCACCCTCTGTATGCATGCCCCTCCCCAAGTCCACTGATAGGGGAGGTCTTCTTTTCCTTCCTTCTGATCCTGGTCAATTAGGTCTCATCAGGAGTGGCTGCAGTGTCTTCTTCTGTGGCCTGGTAGTGCTGCTTCCCCCTCAGAGGGAGGTAATTAAAGAGCAGGCCAATCAGTTCATGTCAGAGACAGTTCCTGTTCCAATTAAAATGGAACCCACTTGGATACTGAACACTGCTGGCGGGAACGTAAACTTGTACAACCACTCTGGAAAGCAATCTGGCGCTTTCTCAGACAACTAGGAACAGTGCTTCCTCAAGATCCAGCTATACCGTAACTCCTCGGCATATACCCAAAAGATGCTCAAGTACACAATAAGGACATTTGCGCAACAATGTTTGTAGCAGCTTTATTTGTAATAGCCAGAAGCTGGAAACAGCCCAGATGCCCCTCACTGGAGGAATGGATGCACAAATTGTGGTATATCTACCAGTGATCTTTAAAGTCAGCTTTACAGAAAGTTTCAGGGCATGACCAAAATAAAAAGGAAGAAAAACAATCAAACCCAGTTTCCCTCCTTTCCATGGGAAACTTTGTTTAACATTCTGACTTTTCTGAGTTCTTCTAAAATCTCCAAGTAAACTCTGCTTTCAGCATTTTAACACAGTAATTGTTATAGATTAGAAAGTTACTGCTTATGTATGAAAAATAAGAAACAAAGAATGGGTATATACTTAAGGACCTATTGAAGAACAAGAAATTATTTAGTTTTTGAAAGATAGTGACTCCAAAGAATGATTTTGGTTTTATTTTCCTTTGGTCTCTGCACTATTGCTGCACAGTGTAACCTTTAAATAACAAGTGACTTGAGCTAATTTCTCAGGCTAACTGTAAAGTATGATTCCTCAACAGGAACCCCAGTTTTTTAGTTTGTCATAGAGTCTGATTATTTGGGTATGGTGACACACACCTTTAATCCTAGCACTTAGGAAGCAGAGGCAGGCCGATTCCTAGGAGTTCACAGCCAGCCAGGTCTACATTGCAGGTTCCAGGACAACCAAGGCTCCGCAGTAAGCCTCAGTTTTACCCCCTAACCTTCCCCCAACCCCACCCTGCCAAATAAAAAGATAAGAGTGATTAGATACTATATAGGTCCGTAATTATAATGTACTTTAGTATTATGGTATATAAATGACTATGTTTTTCTTATAATTTGTTACCTCCCTCAATTCAGCTTTCCACAGGCTACAAATCAGACATTACTAGACAAGTTTAAGCATCAACATGAAGAGAATTCTTACATTGAATTTCCAGCTGTAATGGAGCCTGCTTTTATCATAAGACATTATGCTGGAAAAGTAAAATATGGAGTAAAGGTCAGTAACTATCTTATTGACTATGGTTTTAGAACAGAGGTATGTGTCTTAAAATATAGAACATTTCTTATTCCTTGACAATTTTATGCATGTAAACATTGTTTTTTGATCCTAAGTCTTCCCACAGACGAATGGTTACTCTGACTGGCAGACCACCCTCTCTTGTAGGTATTGGAGCTCTGGGTCAGTAGCCTTACGTTTTGTAAGCATAGAACTAGAATTGAGATCTACTTTTCAGCATATTACTATTTTAGATAATGTTTCTGCCAGTTTCCTTGCAGATGAACCCATTAGTCATTTTTTTAAATCTAGAAGAACAGAAACTCGTGAGTCTCAAACTAATTGTTCATTCTCATAGTTCATTTGTTTTACTTTGATGATGCTCATGACAGTCTTTTAGATGCTTCTGTTCTGAGCACTATTTAGGTACTTAAGAGCTTTCTTTTTTACTAGGTTTATTAGTACTAACACATGTATTTTTGCAACTGATGAGCCAGTTAACTCTTAAATCTTGGGAAGCTTAAACTTGCCACTTAAGACATTTAAGTTTCTTTGTAATACAGTAATGAACTGACATCTTGAGATCATTGGTTTTTGTTTTGTTTTCTGTTTTTGAGACAGAGTTTCATGTAGTTCTGGCTAGTCTCATTTTCTGTGTAGCAGGGGATGTCCTTGAACTCCTATTTCTTCTCCATGTGCATCCTAAGTGTTAGTAGTATAAAGATACGTCACCATGTCTGACTGTGGTAGACATTCCTGATTAAGGTCATTTAACCACTTACTGATTATTTATTTAAGAATTATATTAAAAACCATGTGTCAGATTCTCTGTTCAGTATCTGCAATGATATAGTGATAAGCTAGACAGACATATTTGTAAATATATATATCATATGAACATCACATTTATTTTAGCCTTGTGCTATAAATAAATTTTCTGTGAAATAAAATAGTTACCTTTTAATTTGTAGGATCACAAGTACTTCTTCTAAAACACTTTGCTTTTAAGAGAGAAATGAATGTAGATGTTTCCCTGATGAATTCAGATAGTGAATTATAGGCTGTAAATTAAGAAAGGAGTTAAGGAGTTTTAGAATACTGAAATAGTGGATTAAAGGTCAGTGAGATGACACTATAAGGACGAGTGAGATAATTTTATGGCTTCTGAGAGCAGACGCTAAGTTAAATCTTCAAGGGCTTGTAGGCTACATTAAAAGAACTTAGGTTTTTTGTTTGTTTGTTTTTAGGTTTTTGTTTTTAGGTTTTTGTTGTTTTTAGGTTTTTGTTTTTAATGGAGTTGAGGAGTCCCTGTGTAGTCCCCACTGCTAGAGAAGTGACAGTCTTGCTTCTGTCACTTGCTTCTGTGATAGACTTGCTTTGGAGTGCTTCAGTTACAGACGTGTACCATTAACCTTACTATTGGAGTGTAGTTTTTCTTGTTGAAATTATTATAGGAACTGTGAAACTATTTTAAGTAGATTAGTGTTTTTAGAACAGCTGGCGGGGGGGGGGGCAAGACTAGATTCTTGGAATTTGTAAATTCTCTTATCTCTCTTTATCACCCTCCTCCTTTTAAAATGAGGTGAAACATTAAATTGAACCACAAGAGTAGCAGTAGAAATGGGGAAGATCTAATATAAGGTACAGTGTGGAGATCTCCCCACACTTTATAGATGTTCTAAATGAATGATTTACAGTGGGAATGAAGTGAATCTATTGGAGGTTCCATATCTGAGATGGAAAACACAGGTGAGAAGCAGATTTTAGATATTTCAAAGTAAAAAAAAAACAAAAGACAAAAAACAAAAATTTGGAGCCTCTTGTTATATGTTGTAGTAGTTACTTTTCTAGTGTGATAGTAAGACACCATGACCAAGGCAACTTATAAAAAACGTTTCTCTGGGCTTACTGTTCCAGAAGGGTAAGATTCTTGGCGGGGGGTGGGGGGGACCTGCAGGCATGGTGCTTGGAACAGAAGCTGAGGTGCTCGCATAAAGCAGAGAATGGGAACTAGAAATGCCCCGAAGCTTTAAATTCCAAGCCTGTCTCCACCGGCATACTTCAGCAAGGCTACACCTCTTGAAACTATCCAAACAGTACCACCAACTGGAAACTAAGTATTCAAATGTTCAAGACTAAGGGGGCGTTTATCATACAGTGTACACACATGTTTCTGTGTTGTTTATGTTACCGAGTGGGTTGAAACTAAAAGATGATTAAAAATGAGTAATTATATACTCATTGACAAAATTAAACAAATACTAGAGATATTTACTGGAGATAAAAGGGATATTTCACAATGATAAAATGTTAATCAAAAGTTGTTTACACCTAATAAGTTTGATTCAGACTATAGAAGCAGAAAAAAAAAATCCCAAAAGTAGCTATAGAGTTGAGAATGTATCTGTGGTCGAGTGTGTGTCTATTATGTGTAATGCTGTAAGTTTAATTCCTAGCACTGCAGAAAGCCGTAACAAATAAAAGTAGTTGTAGATAAATCCTTTGTTGTACCACAGGGTACAAACAAAAAAATGTCAAAGAGAAAACTTGGGAAGCCCTTTGAAGACAGTTGTCCCAGTTGCATGTCATAAGGTGACTTTAGGGAGTTACTGAGTACTTAAACATTAAGCAAAACTCTTCTAACTAGTTGGTGAGTCAGTCCTGAAAGTCACAACTGAAAGTACTTGCTGCACTAAGAAGACATATTTTCAACTGAATAGTTAGAAATGTGTTATTTTAAAGATTGTAGAATCCAGTTAAATCATTTAAAACAAATGCGTGACATTTGAAATTAGTATGAAAAGTTAAAAAGTAATTATATCAGGTTTTATCTTAAGAAATTTGGAAAAGAGCACATTGAGCCTAAGTGAATGAGAAAGACGTGATAAAGATAAATGAACACATAAAAAGAACCATAAGGAAATCAGTAAAGCTGGGAATGGTGGCAGATACCTTTCATCCCAGGCAGAGGTGATGGGATCTCTATGAGTTCAAGGTCAGACTGATCCACCTAATGAATTCTAGGACAGCCAGGGCAATTTAATGATAGCCTGTCTCAAAACAAACCCCACAAAAATTGAAATGAAATCAACAAAGTCTAATGCCAGGTCCATTTTATACATAATAATACAAAACAAAGTGTATTAGAAGAGTAGCAAAAAGTATATAAGTTATAGGTATCAAAAATAACAGGTACTTTATTCTTCTCTGTTATTCATTCTCTGTGCAGCCTCAGGTGTTTATAAAACACCGACTGGCTGCTACCATTACTTTTCCAATTCTTTTATCATTGAATGAAACAAAATAAAACCAAGCTGTGCTTTATAGACTTTTAAGTATGCTATTTGTCTATTGTCCCATCCCTCGGACCTTTTGCCCATCCATTCTGCCCCTGGCTTTACTGCTTTCTTCTAACCTGCCCACAATGCTAGCTTTTTTTAGTTTTCTAGCTATTTTATCATTTTATCTAGTACTTCTCCAAATTGGCTGTCTAATAATCCATAACAATTATAGAGTATTTAATTCAGTAGTTTCAAAATTAGCTGGCACCTTTTAGAAGATGCCTGGCTCAGATAGCTACTGAGAATAGAATTCAGTTCTGTAATCTCTGTTCACCCACCATGCAAACCTGTTATCTTTTTTATTTTAACAGTCTTTTTAAAAATAACATTGGTACTTTTTTCATAGGATTTTCGGGAAAAAAATACAGATCATATGCGTCCAGACATTGTGGCTCTTCTGAGAAGTAGCAGGAATGCCTTTGTTTCCGGGATGACGGGAATTGATCCTGTAGCTGTTTTCCGATGGGCAGTTCTACGAGCTTTTTTCAGAGCCATGGTTGCTTTTAGGGAAGCTGGGAAAAGACACATTCAGAGAAAAAGTGGTAAGCCGTTCTTGCTAGTATTCTGCCATAATAATTATTTTTATTTTTCCATACTCTGAAGTCATGTTTCATAGCTGATAAATCACATAGACCTTTAAGTGACAAAATGTATATTTCTATATATATGGGGGCATATGTTGCTGCTATATTTTCTTTAATAGATATTGGTAGGAATAAAGAGTGTCTTAGAGTTACTATTGTGTGATGGAACACCATGACCAAGCCTAGTTATAAATGGCAACATTTAAATGGGAGTTTGTTTATAGTTTTGGAAGGCCAATCCATGGCCATGTGGTGCAGGCAAGCATAGTGCTCAGAGCAGAATATGAGAGCTCACATTTGATCAGAAAGGTATAGGCAGAGAGAGTGAAACTAGGCTTGGCAAGGGTTTTTCAAACCTCAAAAGCCCAGCCCCAGTGACACTTCCTCTGACAGGCCATACCTCTTAATTCTTCTCAAACAATTCCACCAACTACAGACCAAGCCTTCAAACTAATGAGCCAATAGGGGCCGCTCTCATTCCAACAACCTTAATGAGCATAAGGCATGCTGTAGTATGAACAAAAATGCAAGTTGACAATCTTTAGTTTTAATGTTTTCTCTCCTTTGTTCATCTGTATTTTTTTATACAAATTCAATTATAATTCAATATGAAAAGCAAATTAAGAAACAAAAGTTTGGTCATACAGTGTAATCTAGTAGAGTCTCCTACCCCAGTGTCACCTTATCTGTTGACCAATTTTATAAGTTAGAGCACTTTTTCTTTCTTATTAAATAATTAATACTGCATTTGTTCATTAACTTTTTCTTTTTTGTTAACCAGTTAACCATCTCTCAGTTTATTGAGTTTTTAGTTTGAAATTTAGAAATGATTTTTTTTTTCCCGGGTACTACCTTTTTAAGCCATAAGACATTTCATTTTGTATTTTATCTGGGGTCAATTTCATAGGCACTTGTGGGCATTTGGAATGTGCTGTAGTACTTGCTGTAACTGTAGTCTTAGACCATTGCTGCCTAGTTAGAATTTTCTGATTTATATGTAGATGGGACATGCCTTTCAGTCGAATTGTAAAAGTGCTTTCTTGTTCTTATGTGATTCCCAAACTTACTTAAATATATTGGAGTAAACAAGCTTTTAAGTCAGCTTTTAAACTTCATTTTTTATTTTATATTATGAGATATGTTAACTACTTCTTGTAAATATGGATAATTGAAATTTGTTGGAGAACTAAAAGAACTACTTCAGATCTGCTTTTCCTCTCCTAAGTGACTTTAAGAGGTTGATTAAAAAAAAAAGCTTTAAGGAAAAAAATTTCTTTTTTGAGATACTTAGTTTGAAGAATAAGAAGAAAAAGAGGTGAACTAAAAATCTACAAATCTAAATAGACCTATTGGACAACATCAAATGTATCAACATCTGGTTGTTTAAAAGAAAAGAAGTCAGAAACAATATTTGAAAGAATCATAGCTATAAATTTTTTTTTATATTTGACAAATACTAATCCGTACATGCTAGGTCATCAGTAATGACAAGGAAGATAGATTCAAAGAGATCCAAACATAGGTATGTCATAAACCACCTAGAAATGGGCTGGCCAGATGGCTTAACAGACAGGTAATGGCACTTGCTGCCAAGGCTGATGATTGAATTCGGTCTCTTTGACCTATAGAAAGGAAAGGACTAACTCCTGCAAGTTGTCCTCTGACCTCCACAGGCCATGGCAAGTGTACATCCCGCACTCCATGAATAAATGTAATAAGAACTTAAAATAGAAGAGACTATGAAGAGCAAGTGGTAGGGCTTTGTCATGTAAAAGGACATAGACCGAACAGATGATTTCTCATCAGATGTCACTGGAGTAGAAGGGAGTAGAATATTACATATTTAAAATGTTGAAGAAAAAAGTATAATGAATAATTCTACCCTCATCAAATGTAAAATGTCTTTCAGACATAGTGGTTAAGTGTATTCCTAGAGATAGCCAGGTGTGGTGATGCATGCCTTTACTCCCAGCACTTAAGAGTCAGAGGCCAGAAGATGTCCAGGCGAGCTTGGTCTACATAGTCAGTTCCAGGACCACAAGGTAGTTGTCTGGAGAGACCCTGTCTCAAAGATAAAACAAAACCAAAAAACCCCAATACTAAAGCAACAGATAGTCTTAGGAAATAAATCCTAAGTGCCTTTATTAGCAGACTTTCCCACTGTGTCAGTTAAGGTTCTATGACCACTGTAGCTTTTAGAAAGGAAAACATTTCATTGGGGTTGGCTTACAGTTTCAGAGACTTAGTTCATTTCTGTCATGGCCAGAAGAATGGCAGTAATCAGGCCAATATGGTGCTGGGAAAGTAGCTGAAAGAAAGAAACATGAGGCCTGGTTTGAGCATTTGAAACCCCAAAGTGCCCCTCCCCTGAGCAACATATTTCCTCCAACAAGGTCACATGTACTCTTACAAGGCCACACCTCCTAATCCCTTTCAAGCAGCCCTATTCCTTAATTCAAGGATTCAAACATGAGTCCATAGGGACCATTCCTATTCAAACCACCACATATATCCCCATAGGAAATATGAAAGGGAATTCTTACAATTTTAAGGTATAGAAATTGTATTACATAATTTTAAGGTATAGAAATTGTGTTACAGTCTGGAAAATAATGTTTAAAGCAGTTAAAAATGTTTGTAAAAGGTATAGCAAGTAGAATGAAAGAAATAGGACACAGGTTATTTAAAAACCTTACACTTGATGTGACATTGAATCTCAAAGCTACAAGATTACAAAAATATCCCAGTAATGCTAGTATATTAGATCAAATATGAAATACCTCAGTGACACTGCTATATTAGATCAAGTGGGAAATACTACAGCGACAATGGTATAAAATATTAGATCAAATGGAAAATGGAACACAATGGGTAAAGTAATATTTAACAACTTCTTAAAATCCTACACAGTAATTCAGTGCATTTTAATAACTTTTTTCGAACAGAAAGTAAGTTTTACATCTTTTTGAAGTATTTTTAATAAATTATCAAATTATCTACTGGTTGAGTATTGTTCATACAGCGTCCTCTTTTCTCCCCAAACTTGTCCACTTTACTTGACTGTCAATCCATGTGCAGGCTAGTCTAATACTTAGCCATCAAGGGTAATTACTGGTAATAATGGAAATTAAGTATTTTCTACTAAAGAATTTTGTGACAATGAAGTGATGGCAAGCTGTCTTTTTATAAAAATTTAAAATTTTTCCAATTCCTGATTCTTATCTTGGGTAAATGAACCATTTTAAAAACATTTACTTTTTATTATCAGTTTGTTAAAATGTTTGAAATGGATTTTATCTTTTAAAAGTCTGCTACTTTTATATATTTAATAAAAAGATTATATTTTCTTTGATAATGTTTTTAATGTAACATTTTATTTTTTTATCAGTTTGATAAAATTCTTCAAGTAGATTTCATCATTTAAAAAAGCCTGCTGTTTTTATGTACTATCTGATGATTAACAAGATTATGTTTTTTCTGATAAGAGTAGATAGCATTTTCTGAACCTAGAATCTAGCTGAGGGTATTTCTTTGAAATGAAAAGAATACTCTACAAGGGTTTTTTAAATTAGTCTTTCTTTGAGCTTTAAAATAACTATATTGAGAACTGTTTGTAATTTATGACATTGATACTCATTCCTAATTCTATAATAAATTATACTAATGGCCCTTCAATTCATGTCACTTACTTTGTTTCTCAGTTATTCGGTTTTTATTTTTGGAGGCATAATTGTTAAATGTAACCATCACTCCCTAACTCAGTAGGTGATATCTAAGGGAATGTCACTCAGAGCCATTTTTTCTGAAATATGGAAACTCTGTATTCTACATTAAATAAGTTTCTTGCTGATATTTATGGTATTGAAGCTGCCCTTGCCCCTTGCCTTATTGCAAGGCAATAATGATTCACTTGGTTAACACCTATTTGGGGCTTTGGTCTTGTAGCTCTTCTCTTTCCTGCTAGTAATAAATACACTTTTCTCTTTTTCGGTGGTGAGGTATAGATGTTCCAGCTGCTCAGGTCCCTGCTCTGCTGATTTACTACTTACACTTCTCACACATTTGACAGACGACTTAGGAGTGTGGTTCATTTCCAGAGTTGGAAAAAAAATGTTAAATTTTTTGGTAATTGGTTTGGGTATAGTTTCTGTCAGAAATTATTTTCTATCAATTAATTTCTATCAATGTTGCCAACTGTGTGCAAAAGATATTTCAGAAATGAATAACTTTTGAAGAACAACCAAGTAAACAACTTGTTTGAACTGTTCCTTATACTTTAATCTAGAATTTTTCTTGTGGCATTTGGCTCAGAATACTTCGATTAATAATAACATAGACATTTTTTATATCTGAAAAGATTATTTGTTTTTTCCATGATTTGTTAGTTGGAGAAAAATCATTCACATTATTTGATATTTTAAAATATAATGAGATAGTTGGCAGCATTGTGTTTGTTTCTCTTACTGGTTTGGCTTACATAATGTCTTTTTCTTTTTTCTGTTTTTGGTTTTGTTTTGCTTCTTAAGGACATGATGATACAACGCCATGTGCAATTTTGAAAAGTATGGATAGTATTAGCTTTCTGCAACACCCAGTCCACCAGAGGAGCTTAGAGATTCTGCAGAGATGCAAGGAAGAGAAGTACAGTAAGGCTGCAAATCCTCATCAACACTGTGTGTCACATCCGTTTCAAAATGGAAATCAAGAGCATTCATCCGGGTAGCATGGAAGTTGCATAGGCAACATGAGCTTCACAACCCTTTATTCAGAATCTAGTACTTCCTTTTGAAATTGCTGCCATACCTGTTCTTTAATGTGGCTGACTGTCCTGTTTGCTATGATCACCACATTATTGATTATCTAGGTTGCATCACTGAATTGGTTTTTCATTTTAATCTTGGAAGCATCTGATTCATTTCATAAAAGTGAACAGTACTTTTTCTCCTACTTGCTTTTTGAACGTTTTATTGAAATGTAAAGTACAATAAAAGAGAACAATTTGGTACATCTTACATATATATAAAACTCATAAAATGATCATGATAATCAGCACTCCCTAATAGTTTCCTCATTATCTGGATAACTTTTGTACTTGCTTATGTTTGAGTCCTGCATCAGCAAATGTTGTACTTGTGAGTCTCTATGGGGCCCATTTAAGTTGATTTAGCCATTGGCTCAGACTTTTTATGTCTGAGAGAAATAACTGTATCATTATTTCAGCATAAAGAGTAACAGAATCAGAATACATATCTGTTTATTATTTAAAGTGATATAAAAGATGCACTTGGTCTCCATTTCTTTCTTAGCTCTTTGTTAGTTTGCATGAAAATAGGTCCTTTTATCTGCTGTGTGGTTCTAATAATTGTCCTTGCTCCTATTGTGATAATAAGTGAGTTCTTCAGAAAACTAAATTATTTGTTTATAGTGGACCAAATTTACTCAAAATCTGCTTTGTGCATTTAATAAATTGCCGCATGTTTTGGTTACTACTTTGACTAGAGTTTTCTAGTTGAAATCCCGTAACATTTTACTTAATAAAAGAACAATTTAAGTAGAAGTGCTAAAAATAAATGGCAGTGAGTTCTTTTTCACTGTATTGCTGTAAGAAAATATATAATGAAAATGTATTTTGAGAAAATACATAATTTTTTATTGTAGTAGGAATAAAGGTAAGTAATTTAAAAAAGGTATCTTTAGAATTTATCATTAATCATTGCTGTTATTTCTAAAGATACATAGCACTCATTCTAACTGTTCATTTTGGTATTCTCAGTCTTTCAAAACAGTCTACAAATCTTTTGAGGACAGCTTAAATGAACTTTATTTAATTCTAAAGTAGTTGCACTGTAGACTGGATCATTTTGTAGCTTATGGGTTACAGCATAGGCTGCATGAAATTATGCATTGGCAGTTTCCTAATTTCTGAATATTTATTTTATGCATGTATTCCATTTCCCACTGCAGTTACATGCAGGTGCAGCTTTAAAGTATTTTGGTACTACTGTTACATAATGGTGGCACATTACATGTGCAGAATGCATCGTTAGTGTTTAAAAGGGAAAAAAAATGTAGCTTTTAATTATTTTTTAAATTTTTATTTATATTTACATTGTGTGTGTGTGTGTGTGTGTGTGTGTGTGTGTGTGTGTGTATGGGCGCGTGCACACATGCGCAGGAATTAAACTCAGTCGTTTGGACAAGCAGTAAGTGCTTTTAACCCCTGAGCCATTTCTCCATCCCTTAAAAATTCTTACATTAAGAAATAATGCTGATAACCTAGAGTCAGATGGGCAGTGTACTTGGGGAAGGGAATAGGGGTGAAGAGGGAGGAAGGGTAGAACCAGGATGAGATGATTGAGAGGCCTACATCAGGATATAAAATGAATAAATTGAAAAGAGAAATAATGCACTAAAATAACAATTTAAGCTTTCACTTTAAGAATTTAGGAAAAACAACATAATTAGACCTTTAAAAAGGAAAAGAAAGCAAATAATTTTGAGTGCTAAAAAGAAGTGATATAGAAAGCAAGTCTGTAATGTTTATACTGTTGCTTTAGATAAGTCAGCGTATTATAAGATGAGTATGTAGCAGAATAAAGCTCACTTCAAAGCTAGGAAGGAAGAGGCTGGAGTCCCAGAATCACCTTTGTGCATGTACTATTAATGATCCAAATACCTACTACCAGCCCCACTACTTCAAAAAATTGCACTACCTCATTACAAACTGAGAACCAAACTCCTAATGCAGCGGTTTAGGTGGACAGTCAAAATCCAAGAGATGTTAACTCACTGTGTTAACCATCTATAAAAGAAAAAGTATGTGATCATCTCAGTAGATGAAGAAAAGGTTGTCATGATTCTGCACCCATTTCTTTTAAAACTTGGCAGTTAAGGGTCCCAGTTTATAAAGGGTTTGTGTGAAAACTCTTAGCTTAGTCTTTCTCCAAATACTTAGAAGTAAAGACATTTCATATAGCCACTTCAGATCAGGGTCACAGACAGAGTAGTACAATAACAAAGAGCTATAAAAGGTATTTGAAAGGGAAGAATTAGTTAACATGACTATAGGTAAAAAGGTAAAGGTAAAAATCTACTGGAATCCTTATGGAAGAAAAGGGAGATAGACTGGGAGGGCACAGAAACTCCACAAGAAGAACAACAGAGTCAAAATACCTGGGCCCAGGAGGCCTGCAGAGACTGATACTCCAACTAAGAACCATCCATGGGGAGGACCTACACCCCCTGTTCAAAGGAAGCCCATAGGCTGCTCAGTTTCCAAGCAGGTTTTCTAGTAAGGGGTATAGGGGCTGTCGCTGACATGAACTCAGAGGCTGGCTTTTTGATCACCCTATGGGGTGCAGCATTGCCAGGCCACAGAGGAAGATTATGCAGCCAGCCTTGATGACATCTGATAAGCTAGGGTCAGATAGAAAGGGAGGAGGTCCTCCCCTATTAGGGGACTAGGGAAAGGGCATAGGAGGAGGAGAAGGGGTTGGTTTGGTCTGGGAGGAGAGGAGGGAGGGGGCTGCAGTGGGGATAAAAAGTGAATAAATTGTAATAAATACATAAATTTAAAAATCTAAAAAATTGTTTTAGAACTAAAACGTGAAATTAACAATCTTTTAGGATACTTAATAAATATATAAAATTATATTTTTAACCCTAAATACTAGGACAGTGAAGTTTATAAATGTCATTGTAGTATTTGAGGCAGCTAGTCTACTCTCACGTTTACAAGAGTATGTCCATGTGAAAAAAGTACATGGCAGGTGTGTCACTTCTGATATTATTAGAAAAGATTACTACTCCAGTCTTTGGTATTTGTCAGCTTTTACATCGCTGCAAGAGAAGCCTCTGTGAGCAGCTCCATTCAGAGTTCTAACAGAGTCTTCAGCCAACAGGCAATAAGGAGCTGGGCTTCCTCACCAACTTGTTGGGGTGACCTGAGAGTCGAAACATCCTTCATTCTTGTCCCAAGATGACTGCAGTCTTGCTTGGCAGCTTGAGTAAAACCTAATTAGACCCTGACTTAAAACTACCTAGATAAGCAACTTCTAATTCTCAGCTTTTGGAAACTAAGATAGATAGGCCTGGTAGCAGACTTAAAAAATCTCATCTTCCTGAGGAGACTGGCACAGGAGGATTGTACAGGCCAGCCTGAGTAGCTTAGGGAGAACTTTTCTCCGAAGGGAAGAAGAAAAAAACAACTGTGTGTATGTTGAGGAGGGCGGGGAGTGGGGCAGTGGCCGCACGTCGGTGGCTGAGTAGTCGGACCCTGTGTAACACGCACAAAGCCCTGGCTCAATGCACAGTGCTGCACACAGGGAGGGAGTGGAGAGAAGGGGGCAGGGGAGAGAGGGAAGGAAATCTGTGAACCAGATTAGAAGTCTAGAAACGGATCGTGTATATCATACGCTCTGGAATCAAACTAATGACATTGAATAACTTGGTATTCATTGGTTAAAAGAGAACTCTAATGTTATGAAAAGTGACCTTGAAATGAGTCATGCTGATTTAGAGTTCAAAGCCATTAAGTTTTTAAGAAAACTTGATGGAAAAAAAAAAAGCAGGCAAAGATTTTTTTTTTTTGTAAGTATATATAGGCATGAACTAAAAGTAAAGGAAATGGATAAGTTAAGATTTCTCTGAATTGAAAACTTAATAATTTTCAAATAATAGTAAGAGAACAAAAATCATACCACAGCATAGGAAACAGCATATTTAATGGTTTTTTAATTCTGATATACAGTAATGTACTTACAAGTGAAATATAATACATAGGTTTGTACCTGTAGAATAATTTGAGGAACATTTTATTATCTTGAAAATACATTTTCTAATCATGAGAATGGATATCATTCAGTTGATTTGACCCTTGATTTTTTTTAGTGATATTTTATAATTTTTAGTGTAGACATCTTTATTTATTCTGTTATATTTACATTATTATGATTTTATGAATGTAATTACTAGTCTTTGATCATTTACTATATTTGTACAGAAATGGAGTTATTTCTACATATCAATTTAATTTCCTGTATTTTTGCTGAATGTATTAGCTTTAACAGATTTTTTTTTAGAGTCTTTAGGATTTTCTCTGTATGGTTTTGTCATTTTTCATAAAAGTCTTTTGTAAAGATGCATGATTTCTTTCTTTCCAATGTATCTGAAATGTTTGTATATGTATACATATGAAATTGATGGCCTTGTATTTACTGAGCCTATAAGAAACTTCTGTTTGCAAATATTCATGATCTGTAAGTAGACAGTCTTTGATTTTCAGTGTTATGTGTAGGATCGATAGATCTCTAAAGTATGTGCTACATAATCACAGTATATTTGTTGCCAAAAAGTGATACAAAGGGATCATGTTAAAAGTGTTCTGTGCATCAGAACACATGCATTTTATATGTATTTAGTCTTTAGCCTGCTTATTTTATACTTAGTAATGTTAATGTTTTACTTAGTATCTGATATTTATGAAGTGCTTAAACTAAGTTTATTTTTTTCTTTAGAATTTTATTTTATTTTTTAGTATTTTGAAGGTGCACTAATTTGTTGAGGTTTTCTACCTTTTTTTTTCTTTTGTTAGGTATAACCCGAAAAAACCCAAGAACACCTCTTTCTGATCTTCAGGGCATGAATACTCTAAATGAAAAAAATCAACAGTAAGTTTGGTATATGTTTACAAGGAAATATGAGATGAATAAGTATCTCAGTGATGATTTTGGACATTGTTATATAGCCTGGCAGCACTTCATCTTGTGATTTTCCTGCCCCAGCCTGGGATTATAGGCGTGTGCTACCACACTTACTCAGACTAATGTTTTGTGTATTTGTGAAAATGTTTTGTGGGCATGTTTATGTGTGTGAAGGTGAGTGTATACTATGTGTGGTGGTCAGAAGACAGCCTTGGATGGTAGCCCCTGTGCTTGGCCTTGTTTGAGGTCACTACTGTAGATGTCAGGCGAGTTGGCTCACAAGCTTCTGGAGATTGTCCTGCCTCTGCCTGTGTCTTAGAGTAGGAGTACTGGGATTCCTGTTTTGGCGTCCAGCTTTTTACATTAGTTGTGGGATTGACTCAGATCCTCAGGCTTGTGCAGCAAGTCTGTAAAGCACCGAGTTTTCTCCCCTGTCCTCAGATTGATTTGTTTTTAAAATTTTAAATTTATTTATTGTTTTGTATTTGTTGAGGTGGGAGAATGTCAGAGAAGAACTTGAGGGACCAGGTCCTCTCCTTCCTCGAGGGGGATCCAGATATCAGACTGATCTTCTCAGGCTTGACAGCAAGAGCTGCATTCTGCTGAGCTATTTGTCTTTTCTTTTTCTTTCTTTTTCTTTTTTCTTTTTGTTGTTGTTGTTGTGGCTGTTATTTTTCCTGAATAGGTCATGCTTTCTGAGTGAGTATGTATTGTGTGTGAGAGTATGATTTCTAATCTTTATGTTTTTGGTTGGTATGTAGTTTTGGTTGGTATAATGTAGTAAATAGAAATCAGGTCACCCTTTGCACGTGTCATCTGTTCTTTTTTTGATTTGGTTTGTTTTTCTCTTTCTGTTTGCTTGTATTTTCTTAAATGCTTTTAAACTTGTTTCTTATTTAGGCTTCTTCACTTTATGTTGTTAGTTAGTTTTTCTTTTTTTTTTTTTTTTGTCACTCTTTTATTTTGTTTGAGGTAGGATCTTACCATGTGATTCTGGTTATACTAGTACTTGCTATGTAGTCCGTACTGGCATTGCATTTAGGCAATACTCCTGCATAAGCTTTTCAAATGTTGGGATTTATAGAGGCTTACAACTATGTCTGGATCTTCATTAAAATCTTTATGGTTGCCATGCATGGTGGCCCACGCCTGTAATCCCAGCACATGGGAGGCAGAGGCTGGTGGAGTTCTGTGAGTCTGAGGCCAGCCTGGTCAACAGTCTGAGTTCCAGGAGAGCCAGAGTTATTACACAGAGAAACCTTGCTTCAAAAAAACCAACCAAACAAACAAAGCACTTTTCTGGTTCCTGTGCCTTTGTGACAATTCCACTTTTCCATGTTGGTTTCTTTTTCATGCTAGGTGCTTTCCTTGGATGTCTAGTGAGTATTGGTCAACAATTCATGTTTAAGATTGAACAGCAGTATCAGTTTGGGTGTGTGAGGTCATTGCCTGAAACTGATCAGTATTTCCCTTTTAGTTAGCTAAATTCTCTCCCACAATTTATTCCATCTGACTACTTGGCTTATATATTCTCAGCTGTTGTCATTCTTAGAGAAGCTGGATAAAAAGACTCAGTACCGCTATTTTAAATATTGCCCTTAACGTCTGTGCATAATATTACTCTCTTCACCTGTGCATTCCTTTGTTCGGATTACAGACTTTCTCTTTCACCTCTTGTTCACATAAAGAATGAACAAAGCCTGAGAAATTAATGTGTCACCCATATTGTAAAGATACATCACTGTTCTCAGTTTATTCTCTTTGTTCTTAAGTGAATTCCTGTAAAATATAATTTGTATTTTTTAATGGCCTCTAAAGATGTTTAAATATGCTATCTTTACCTGGGAAGCCCTTAACTAAATATTATGCTATAATCACTGGTAATTGTTCGTTCATTCCTCTGCCTCTGATGTTGGTAATAGCACTCAAATCTGTAGCAACAGCTTAATATTTTTTGTTGATGTGTCAGTAGCATTTATTTTTATGAATAAGATGTCTCAAGAAGAAATAGATACTCCATAGAATCATGTGGGTATTATAAATCCCTATAAAGATTTTTGAAAGTTCTAGAAAAGAAAGGCATCACAGATTTTATTATATATTAAAACATATAACTTACACATAACAATGTTAATGATGTTACCTATATGATGTATTTGTCTACCTGTACATTTGTATATGAATGTGTCAGAATCCAGTAAAAAAATTTTCTGAGTGACAGAGAAGTCCCGCTTGATTGGTATTCATGTAATAAACATTTTATGCTGCTTAGCATTAAAATCTTTTTAATGTTCCATTTTATAATATACTATATTTTGTTTTAATATAATAGTATAATTAACTTAAGTAAATTATGCTTTTTTTTTTTTCAGCGATACATTTGATATTGCTTGGAATGTCAGAACTGGCATTCGCCAAAGCAGACTACCAAGTAGTAACACTTCCTTGCTTGATAAAGATGGAATATTTGCTAATTCGACAAGCAGCAAACTCCTGGAAAGAGCTCACGGAATTCTCACGTCAGTATTGATTATTAATAGACTTTTGGTTTTTCCGAAACAGGGTTTCTTTGTGTACCCTTGGCTGTCCTGGACTTCTGTAGACCAGGCTGGCCTCGAACTCACAGAGATTCGCCTTCCTCTGCCTCCAGAGTGCTGGGATTATAGGCATGTGCCACTGCCCCCAGCTTAGTAGACTTTTTAAAAGAGGTATTTTACTAAATTTTGTTACTGACCAAATAATGAGAGACACAGTAGTGTTTCATGGCTATACTTTTGATTGAAAAAGATTGAAATTCTAAAAGACTGCAACCAGCAGGGGATCAAAGCAGATGCAGAGACTCATAGCTAAACTTTGGACAGAGCGTAGGGAGTCTTATGGAAGAAGGGGGATATAAAAGGACCCAGAGGGGACAGGAGCCACACAAGGAGACCAACAACAACAAAAAAGCTGGGCCCAGGGGCACTAAAGAGACTATGTATGGTCAACCAAAGACCATACATAGAGAGGACCTAGACCTGCTCAGATGTAGCCCATAGACAGCTCAGTTTCCATGTGGGCTCCCTAACAAGAGGAGAAGAGACAGTCTCTGACATGAACTCGGTTGCCTGCTTCTTGAGCACTTCTCCCTGGTGGGGTGACCTAGCCAGCCTACAGAGGAAGAGGATCCAGGCAGTCCTGATGAGATCTGATAGGGTAGGGTCAGATGGAAGGGGAGGAGGACTTTCCCTATCAGTGGACTGGAGGAGGGGAATAAGGAAGGAAGGAGAAGGGAGGGTGGGACTGGGAGGAGATGAGGGGGGCTACAACTGGGATGCAAAGTGAATAAATTATAAATAATAATAAAAATTAAGAAAAAAAAGATTGATATGTATTTAGCTTTTAAAAATAGGAGTCTAATGCTTTGTTTCCTGTTTTAGTTTTCCCTATTCACTAGCAAAAACCAGAGAAGAGTAAATATTAATTACAGGGAATGATTATTGTTATTTTCTTCTAGAGAAAGACAAAACCTAGCTTTTTATGATTTCCTGGCTTTGCTACAATTACTGTTCTTTGGAGGTAGCAAAACTTGGACAGGAAAAACTCACGCATATGGTGCATGGTAGTATGTTAGTGTCATCCAAAACTCGTCTGACATTACCTGAGGAAAGAGCTGCTGTAGACATGGTGATAATTCTGCACGGTGCTCCATTAAACTAAAGTAAATTTTAGTTGATAGCATTAATTATTTCAGGCACTTCTCACTATTTATTTTTAATGTGTCGTAAACTAGATTTATGCCTAAATTGGAGTTTTGAATCTCTATTGAAGTAATTGCTTACTGCCAATAGGCTTAGTTTATATGAGTCTTCCTCTACTTTGGAAATGTGTCCTAACTCACTTAATTCTCTCAACACATCCTAAGAAACACATGGTCTTAATCTTCACTTTATAGACTATCATAGTGAAACCAAGCTTTAGAGAAGTAATAGTTGCGAAGGTAGAAAATCTTAGATTCATGATAGGACTTCACAACTTCTCAGTCAGTGTTTTAAACATTGAGCTGTATTTGCTCTTTTCTGAAGCCATAATAAAAGTTAATCTTGTTTATGAGTAGGAAAAAAATGAATAGAAAAAATTTAATTTTTAAAATGAAAGATTATGTTTTGCTGAAATGTATGTTTTAAATTATTTACAAAATTTAGACATATCTTAAATCTTTTAATGGTAGAAATAAATCTTGGTAGGTATTGGAAAATAGAACCCTAACTACATACCAAAAAGTGAAACTTAAAAGCTTTGAATGTACAGCCCCATGTCACTGATCTTCAGGCTCAACTCTGCTTATATCCAAATTACAGTGCTGTTATTTCTTATGTATCTTGGTCTTATTTTTAATCTCTTTTTTTCAGTGCTAACTGAAAAAAATGTTTTTGTACAGAAGGCTCACATTCCCCAATAGAGGAATTTAGTTGCACCAAGAAGGCTCTTTAATCTCTCATTTATACTATAAGCTTTTTTTTCTTCTAATGAATGTTTTTATCTTTATAGGAGAAACAAAAATTTCAAATCAAAACCTGTTCTTCCAAAGGTGAGTACTGTGGAAAAATTTTCTCTCTGTGTGTTCTCTTTTTTAAATTAATTAATTTTTTTATTAATTACAATTTATTCACTTTGTATCCCAACTGTAGCCCCCTCCCTTGCCCCCTCCTAATTCCACCCTCCCCCAGTCCACTAATAGGGGAGGTCCTCCTCTCCTCCTTTCTGATCCTAGCCTATCAGGTCTCATCAGGACTATCTTCCTCTGTGGCCTGGTAAGGCTGCTCCCCCTTCAGGGGAAGGTGATCAAAGAGCCAGCCACTGAGTTCATGTCAGAGACGGTCTCTGTGCCCCTTTCTAGGGAACCCACTTGGAGACTGAGCTGCAATGGGCTACATCTGTGCAGGGCTTCTAGGTTATCTCCATGCATGGTCCTTGGTTGGAGTATCAGTCTCAGGAAAGATTCCTGTCCCCCAATTTTTTTTTTTTCCTTTCCTTGTGAACTCCTGTCCCCTCCAGGTCTTTCTATCTCCCCCTTCTTTCACAAGATTCTCCACACTCTGCCCAAAGTTTGGCTGTGAGCCTCAGCCTCTGCTTTGATATCCTGCTGGGAGGCCCTCTATGGTAGGCTCCTGTTCTGTTCACTGTGGAAAAAACTTTATTAGTTCCCTGTATGTTAACTATTTTTATTATTTATCCCACAAATGTTTATAAATCAGACATAAGAAAAATCTTATTTATGTCCAAAATAGAGACTATGTACTTAGTTTAATCCATTTTAGACATAACAAAATCTGTTAGGAAATGGATATGCCTAATAGTTCAGTTAAATAATTACTGGTGATAAATAACCATTTTTTAGTGTTTTTAAAACCTCCTGAATATGCAAGCTCTATTTAGTAATTGCTGCTTTTCATTTTTCTTTCAGCCAGGTTTAAGTGAAAATCTGAATTATGAAAACATTTCTAGTTAGTTATTACGTAATTCTCATCTAGTAAAGATGTTACACAGGGTTTTTATGAAGAGTTAAACAATCTCTGTGAGTCAGTAGTCTGCTGTTAAGTACTTAGGTCTACTGTTGTAGTAGAAACACAACTTTAGATAATAAGAAGTAAGGACAAGTAAAGTCCTCATGCTGATAAAATTCATTTATGAACACTGACACTGAATTTTATATAATTTTTTATATTAAAAAGAAGTTCTTTTGAAAAATAGGGTTGATTGTGCTAGGTTGATCTCAGAGCTAGTCTGCATTGTAGAACCAGTAAACTCGTGGGAACCGTAAGAGTGCATGTCCTGGCTCTTTCCCGTTAATTGTTCTTGAGACAAAATCAGGTGTTGAATGTCCCTGAAACAAGGTCATCTGTACATTGGATATCACTCTTCTACTGCATTCACCTAAAGGAAGTACTTCTCAGTTACCTACCTCTGGAAGGATTCCAAATTCCTGAGTCTCTAGATCAGAGCATCTCAACCTTGGGGTTCACATTTCAGTTATCCTACATATCACATATTTCCATTACTATTCATAGCAGGAAAGTTACAGTTATGAAGTAGTAACAAAAATAATGTTATGGTTGGGGGTCACCACAACATAGGGAACTATATTAAAGGGACACAGCATTAGGAAGGTTGAGAACCACTGCTCTAGACCACACAGGGAGGAGCTTTTAGGTAGGCAAGCAAAGGATCTACTTTTTATTGTGTTTGTTTTCCAAGCTTAGAAATGCTGTCAAAACAGGTGATTTCTCAGAGTTTGAGGCCAGCGTGGCCTACAGAGTGAGTTCCATTTCAGCCAGAACTATACAGAGAAACCCTGTCTCAAGAAGGAAAGGTCAAAGAACCCAGATAGACTTTCTCCAAAGGAGACATGCAAATGGCCAGCAGACACATATTTTTAAAACGCTTGACATCCCTGATCATCAGAGTAGTACAAATAAAACCCACAATGAGATATCAGTTCATACTTCTGGTTAGAACAACTATTATCAAAAACATGAAAGTTGGATTGGAAATATAGGTCAATCAATGGTAGAGTGCTTGCCCAGCATGAAGGGGAGACCCTTGGTTCAACTCAGTATTTGTGGCGGTATGGGTGGGGGCATGGAAAAATGGGTATTGTAAGTACAGATAATTTGAGAATAGTATGGATATTCCTTTAAAAAAGTAAAAACATAGCATATAAGCCAGTAGTCCTTCTGGGTATATATTATCCCATGAGAGCTGAGATCAGCATTAAAATGTTCAGTGTTTAAAATAGGCAAAATACCAAGATAAAGAAATAATTGAGGGCTTACTCAGTGAACAGAGGGTTGGGATAAAGGATACGTAGTTTATAGCCATAGTGGGTTCTTCTCAATCTTTAAGAAGGAATTCTGTGATTTGCAACCGTAGGACTGAACTTAAAGATGGTTATGTGTAGTGAAAAATACCAGATGAAGACATAGTGCAGAGTTTCATATGTGGAATCTTAAAAAGTTGGGCTCAAAATAATGTAAAATAATGAATGCTGGATGGCTCAAGAAGGGAAGACATTATGTACTAGCACATAATATAAATCCAGATGCCACACTTACAAAGGTACAGATACAGGGCACTGATTGTTTAAAGAAAACTTAAAGTATCTATCTAAGGTGTACCAGGTTAAAGTTCTTGTTGTGTCTCTATGTAAGGCCAGTGAATGTAATTTTTCAAAAGCCTATTTAGTTAGAGAAAATTTAAGCTCTTTCAACCCTCTGAACCACCAAACTAGCTTTACAATCCAAGCTCCACTGTGTCATACACACCTGAAGCCAGATCACTCAACCTAAGTTTTTATTACTGGAAGAAGGAGAAAACAAGAAACAGAACAGGAGCCTACCACTGAGGGCCTCTGAAAGACTACCTAACAGTGTATCAAAGCAGATGCTGAGACTCATAACCAAACTTTGGGCAGAGTGCAGGGAATCATATGAAAGAAGAGGGAGATAGAAAGACCTGGAGAGGACAATAGCTCCACAAGGAGAGCAACAGAACCAAAATATTTGGGCTCAGGTATTTTCTGAGACTGATACTCCAACGAAGGACCACTCATGGATATAACCTAGAACCCCTGCAGAGATGTAGCCAGTGTCCAAGTGGGTTCCTTAATAAGGGGAACAGGGACTGTCTCTGACATGAATTCAGTGGCTGGCTCCTGAGGGGTTAGCAGCCTTGCCAGGACACAGAGGAGGACATTGCAGCCAGTCATGATGAGACCTGATGAGCTAGGGTCGGATAAAAGGGGAGGTGGACCTCCCCTATCGTGGACTTGGAGAGGGGCATGGGAGGAAATGAGAGAGGGAGGGCGGGATTGGGAGGGAATGAGAGAGGGAGCTACAGCTGGGATGCAAAGCAAATAAAATGTAATTAATGTAAAAAAATAAAAATTTAATTAAAAAGAAATTTGTACAAATAAAAAAAAAAAGGGAAGACATCTTAGAAGATGTCTTAGGAAGTCATAAGTTTTACAGAGTAAATTAAATCCTTGTCATTTGAAGAGCCCTCTGTCAGACCCCTTGGATTGTGCCAAACTTAGCATTTAGTTTATACACATGCAGAGATCTGAGATGACATATCTTTTAGATAACAGGTTAGTTTGATGCAGAGAAGTACCCGCCTGAAATGGGGCTGCTTGCATGGGTTACAGTTTAACCCATCTGCAAGATAATACCTATAATAATAGTGCTGTGGGGTTCTCTTTATTTTCTCTAATGATTCAGAATTGTCACTTCCACTTGAATAGGCTTTCATGACCTATTCTTTTGAGGTGCATTTCTTCAGCGACTTTGCATTGCTCTTCTTGCTACTTTTGTAGTGCTGTGATAAGTCACCATGACCAGGGTAATACATAGAAGAAAGAGTTTATTTGGGGATTATGTTTTTAGAGGGGCAGAACACATGACAGTCATGTCATGGAGCTTGACAGCAGACAGACAAGTATGGAGCTAAAGAGCTCACATCTTGATCCACAGCCAGCGAGAGCTAAATGGGAATGAGGTTTTTAACCACCACACCTACCCCCATGACGTACCTTCTCTAACATGCTACACCTCTGAAGCCTTCCAGACAGTTTCAACAGACACTGGAACATAATAGCATATGGAGGCATTTTCTTCAGACCACCACATGCCCTGTTGTATATTTCTGCTTCGGCATCCTCCTTTTCTCTCATTTCTCACACCTCAAATGGTTTTTATTGTGTTGTTTCCCTGGCAAATTTTATACTCAGGACCCACCAGCTCATTGGTCCTCTTGCTCTAGCCAAATACAAGTTGTGGGTAGGCAAGGAGTCAATCTTTAAGTGCTGGCTTTGGCTCCTTATATATCTTCAGTGAGCAGTGGTAGGCATATTGCAGGAGGATCAGCAGGTCACATCTTTTTGTGTTACAGATCTCATGCAAGCTTCAGATATTGGGGTCTACTAGTGTTAAGACCCTGCATGGGTCTAACCTTAGCATAGTTAGAGGCCAGTGTTATAGCAGCCTTAGGACCCCTTGGTCCTAAAGTTTTGACATCTATGAAACTCAAGTAACCAGGGTCTTCCTTTGACTCCCTACACTCGTTTATCCTTCAGCATCAGCTCTCTGTCCTATTTTTGTTGCCTATGTTCCTTTCCTATTAAAGTGTGGAAGTGTAGCTACCCTATTAAAGGGTAGAAGTGGCCTCTTTGGTGCTACACTAACCCCTACCTACTTGGCTGCTAACCTCTCGACTTTTATTTCTTTAGCCATTAAGCAGTCAGCTGCCTTGCTACTTTTGTAGTTTGACCTGAGACAGATGCTTCTCTCTGCTTCTTTTTATTAATATAACAGCTCAGCCCTTACTACCAAAAGTACCCACAAGGAAAGCTCACTTGAGAGAGGTTTTGTTGGGTGGGCTCAGCATTTCAATAATAGCTGAGGCACCATCAGATGGTGACACCCAGCACCTGGGCAGCTTTCCTTTATATGCAAATTAAGTATTTTTATATATTGACCAATCACAGCATACTACCCATACAAAGAAAGCTTATGAGTACCTTTTATCACCACCTTTTGTCTTTAGTACCAGCCAGAACAATCTCTGCTATGCTTCCAGAGAAATTGCTCTCTCTCTGGATTAGGTTTAAATGATTGCAGGGTCATCTACAATTCACTGAAATTTTCCATAGCAAACAGTTTCTGGTACAAGTTGTTTGAAATAGCTCTAGCTAGGCTGTGTCTTCAGGAGCTAGAGTCTAGTCAGCTCTAGTCAGTGTCTTACTTTACCAGGGTGGTCCCTACACTGCTCAAAACAGAGCTGTACTGGCACTGAATATTATTTTGGTTAAGGTTGCCAGGGTAACAAAGAGTACAAAAGTTGCTAATTAGGGAGTCATATTGCTTTATCTTTCAGTACTTAGTTACATGAAGAGGAACAGCAGAAGGAGTATTTACAATAAGAACTTTAAAATCTTACCACTAGGGTGATTTTTTTTTTAACTTGTAATTGTTTTTATTTATTACAATTTATTCACTTTGTATCTCAGCTGTAGCCCCCTCCCTCATCACCTCCCATTCCAGCCCTCCCTCCCTCTTCTCCACCTATGCCCCTCCCCCAGCCCACTGATAGGGGAGGTCCTCTTCTCATTCCATCTGACCCTAGCCTATCAGGTCTCATCAGGACTGGCTGCATCGCAGCTCCCCCTTCAAGGGAAGGTGATCAAAGAGCCAGCCACTGAGTTCATGTCAGAGACTGCCCCTGTGCCCCTTTCTAGGGAACCCACTTGGAGACTGAGCTGCAATGGGCTACATCTGTGCAGGGCTTCTAGGTTATCTCCATGCATGGTCCTTGGTTGGAGTATCAGTCTCAGGAAAGATCCTTGTGCCCATTTTTTTTTTTCCCTCCTTGTGGAGCCCCTGTCCCCTCCAGGTCTTTCTATCTCCCCCTTCTTTCATAAGATTCCCACACTCTGCCCAAAGTTTGGCTATGACTTTCAGCATCTGCTTTAATAACCTGCTCGGTAGAGTCTTTCAGAGGCCCTCTGTGGTAGGCTCCTGTGCTGTTCCCTGTTTTCTCCCTCTTCTGATATCCATCCCATTTTCCTTTATGAATGAGGATTGAACATCTTACCCAGGCTCCTCCTCCTTACTTAGCTTCTTTAGGTGTACAGATTTTAGTATGTTTATCCTATATTATATGTCTAATATCCACTTATAAGTGAGTATATACCCTATGTGTCTTTCTGCTTCTGGGATACCTCACTCAGGATGATCTTTTCTAGTTCTTACCATTTGCCTGCAAATATCATGATTTCCTTGTTTTTAATAGCTGAGTAGTATTCCACTGTGTAAATGTACCAGAATTTTTGTATCCATTCCAGTATCAGTGCTAATACACATGCCTAGGACTCCAGGGAAAGGTGTATCTCTCATTTCTTCTGTAGTGCTGTTATTTAATTGAATTTAGTCACATTTTATGTCAGGCTTCAATTGGAGAGAGTTGAGAAATTATTTGGTAAAAGTTGTAAGTTGAATAAAATAATAGAATATTACTGGAGATATTTTTAAAGTAAAAAAGATGTAACTAATTATGCACATGACTAATCCTTAAAGACTAGAGGAGTAAAACATCACCTCAGCTTGAGCTCCAGTTATAACCAGTCAGAAGGAACCTGCCGATGCCATCCTGCTGCTTATAAGCACTACCAAATATGTAATGAGGGGATCACAGCCAGGTGATGGTAGCACAGGCCTTTAATCCCAGCACTTGAGAGGCAGAGGCAGAGGCCAGCCTAGTCTACAGAGTGAGTTCTAGGGCAGCCAGTGCTACACAGAGAGACCTGTCTCCAAAGATAAAAAAAAAAAAAAAAAGGATCACAGAGATAAACATGTTTATTCTCACAAATACTGTAGTAATTGTGAGAAGACAGATGACCTTTACTCGGGCTCTGAACACTCAGAAACTCTAATGCCTAGAGATTGGGAATAAAGAAAGTTGAAAGTGCTGTTTTGAGTATTTTGCCAAAAGAACAGAACTAATAGTCAGAGCCTCTGCCTCATTTATTCCTTTCCAGTTTCATACAACATTTGACTGTTAAATTTAAGCCATTTCCAGAATTCTAGATGCAGTTGTTTGGGAAATATAATTTAATTTTTAGTTTTGTAGCTTTTGGAGGAAGGATAGGGAAGAATGGCTATTAACTCAGATTTTTCATTTGATCATATTCATACATAAAATGTTTGTGTACATAGTTTTGGAAGTGAGTAATCACAGTGTTGCACAAAGTAAAAGTAAATCCGCAAGGTGATTTCTGTTTTTGCAAAAAAGGCATGCTAGAATGGAAATTTAGCTAGTCAACACTTTTGCCAAAATATGTTTGTCTTTTATCCTTATCCCGTTGATGGGAGGTAGGCCTCACACTCTGATATGATTAATCAACACAGAGGACTACTCACTTTGATAGAAAAAAAATATGTCACAGTTGGAAATAATGAAAACAGGTTGGTGATATTTTATATAAAATGTTTTTCCCTTTGTCTTTAGCACTTGCTGGAGGTAAATTCTTTGAAGCACCTGACAAGACTGACTCTTCAGGATCGAATCACCAAATCTCTTCTTCATTTGCACAAGAAGAAGAAACCGCCCAGTATCAGCGCCCAGTTTCAGGTCATTACCTATTCTACTCATGCCAGATCAAATCTGTGAACTGCAAGATCATTGATGGGATAGGATTTATATGCCTAAGAAGCTAAGAGTGTTTTATTAGAAAAGGAGCCTGGTTGTATGTCCAAGAATCAAAGGTTTTTCTTTAGTAAAATAGAAATTGAAGAATACGTTAAACCCAAAGCCAGGAGACAGAAGGAAAGAAACATAAACAGAAGTTTTCGAAACTGTAACTAAGAGGTGCTGGAGACATGGCTTAGCAGCTTAGAGTGCAGATGTGCTGGCAGAAGTTTCAAGTTGGGTCCCTAACACCAAACAGGTGCCAAACAATTACTTCTAACTCCATCTCCATGGACTCTGTGGCTTTGGGCCTTTGTGGACAGCAGCACTGTAGCACATAGACACACACAGACACGTAACTAAAAATAAAATTAATATTTTTTTTCTTCTTATTATTATTATTTACAATTTATTCACTTTGTATCTGGTTATACCCCCTTCCTCATCTCCTCCCAGTCCCACCCTCCTTCCTTCCCTCCTCCTCCCCTATCCCTCTCTCCTAGTCCATTGATATGGGAAGTCCTACTCCCCTACTATCTGACCCTAGCCTTTCAGGCCCCATCAGGTCTGCCTGGATCCTCTTCATCTGTGGGCTGGCTAGGTTGCCTCACTAGGGAGAAGTGATCAAGGAGTAGGCAACCGAGTTCATGTCAGAGACTGTCTCTTCTCCCCGTACTAGGGAACCCACATGGAGACTGAGCTACATCTATGGGCTACATCTAAGCAGGGGGTCTTAAGTCCTCTCTATGCTAGGATCAAAAACTCAAGTGACAACACATGCTGGAGAGGATGTGGAGAAAGCAGAGCTCTCCGTTGTTGGTGGGAATGTAAACTTGTACAACCACTTTGGAAATCAATTTGGCGCTTTCTCAGAAAACTGGGAATGGTGCTACCTCAAGACCCAGCTATACCTCTTATGGGCATAAATCTGAAAGATGCTCAGCCATACAATAAATCTTAAAAAGAAAAATTTAGAAAAAGAAAACAAATGAAACCTGAAGACTTTTGGAAGAAAGTAAGTAAAATAAAAGCTCTGATTGTTTGAGCTGATCAAAAACTGATAATGCCTTTAGCCAGACTTAATGGGATATGTATAAAACCAACTGTAGAAGAGAGAATATCACTATATCCTCCATAAACATAAAAATTAATTTAAGGTAGAGCTTCTTTTCTGGATGATTTTAAAAGTTGGTCAGAATGGAGGAATATCAGGGGAGGACATGGTGACATATGCCTCTAATTCCAGCATGCAGAGGACTGACACAGGTACATTACAAGTTAAGGGCAGCCTGAGCTACATAGCTTGTTATAGGTCAACCTTGGTCAAATATAAAGGCCCTATCTCAGAGAACAGATAGGAGTTGGGGGAGAAGAACTACCTGGAATGTGTGTTTGAGCAAAGTTACTTAATGAATGTGAAGAATAGTGAAAAACTATTCTCTATTTAGAGTATTCTGAAATGTATCTACAATAATGACTGTTGCTGGGGCATGAGCTTTAAGATTAAGGTTAACTTAGCAATTCTTGCTTTAGCCAGAATAGGAATGTACACCATTTCCTTTTCAGAAACAGACCCTTGTGTGTCTGTCTAGAAGGTTTTGCATATTTTGCCACACCGTTGTTTATATCTGTAAGCTGCTTATTGCTGCGTCTTGACTGGAAGAGCTTCCTAATGTCACTGCTTTTATTGCAGGCATCCTTAAGCAAGCTGATGGAGACACTCGGGCAGGCAGAGCCGTATTTTGTAAAATGCATCCGTTCAAATGCTGAGAAGGTAAAAGTATCCTACACACAACAGCACACCAGTCACATCTTCAAAACAAAATCTGAATTCCCTTAAACGGGAACAGAGAAACTGTGCATACTTTTTGTATAGAAAATAATATGTATTTGTGGAGTTGATTCAGCATGTATTAGAGTCTTAGAGGCAACTATTAATACCCTTTGAAATGCCATCAGAAAAAAAAGGGTTTTTTTCCTATGAAAATTTTATTACTCTCCTCTTTTTGGGTATAGTCTATGTCTCTTAAAAATTGTTTAGTATTTTTATGCTTAGAAATGTTTACCCTTACTTTTTCTGTTGTAGTGCCTTTAATTAGCACTACAGAAGAGGTAAAAGTTTGCAGCAAAAAAAGCTTAAATACAGCAGACAATAAGTTCATCTTTCTTGATTATTTATTTGTATGTATATGTGCACAAGTGCCATCGTGCACATGTGGAGGTCAGGGGACAGCTTGTAGGCATTATCAGCCATACTTTACTTCACTTTTAATAAACAGTATACGATTCTGCTGTTTAAAAGTGTTGTTTTGTAGCTGGTGAGATGACACAGCAAGTAAAGGCTCCTGACTCAAGTTTGGTGACATTTTTATTCTCAGAACCATATAGTAGAAGGAGACTGACTCCAGTAAGGTGTCCTCTGACTTCCTCATGTATGTCGTGGACACAGAATATAGTTGAGTTACTTCATTATTCCATGACTTCAGTATTTCATCTGTGTAATCTACTCTAATTATAGTACTAAATTTATAGTCCTTTTTGAGTATTAATAGCATACAGCTATGAAGCGCTTAGTTTCTGCTTGTATTGAGTAGAAGTTTGAGTTCCAGTTATTGAGACCTTACTGTTTGAAAGTTGAGTTGATAGTGTTTGAAGTCCTAGGATGAGTTCTGTATATATATATCTGTTCATATATATAACAGTACCCATATATATGTTAAGTCCTGTTATTTAACTTGAATTATTCATCTGGGATTGTCTTAATAGAAGATCGTTAAAAATAACATTAAGAGGCTGACCAGGATGTAATACCAGAAGCTACAAATACATCTATCTCTTTAAAATGCCTAGAAATGTAGCAACCGAGACACTTAGGGTGGGTAACAAGATCCTGTGATTGCCTGTGTAATAAATGAGTTTAACATTCCCAGGACTTACAAGTATTTTATCCCCCTTTTCTGTGTTGCATGCCTGTGTCATAAGCAGAAGTATTAGGGAAATAAAATCAAATTTTGTCAGTTTTTAGCTTAAGTAACAGTTGAAGTAGGTCAGTTATTTAGTGACATTATCAGATTAACATCTTGATGAAACACAGAATTATAAACAACAGTTGGTTAAGTACATTAGTTTGCAGTGACTGAGTTGTGAGACATCTGTACAGGCACATTTCTACCAAGCTTTGTTGTTCATTTGCATTCTTGACTATAGGAGCCTGGAAAGTTGCTTTCTCCCTCATAACTCCAGGCCAGGATAGTCATCTTTATATAAGTTGCCGGTTAGAAGAGCTTGTTCATTCTTTAACTGCATCTTAATCCGTCAGTCCCTGGATACTCAAAGGTCCTTTAAAGACAGATCTAAATTTGGAGATCTACTAACCTTTTTCTTTGTTTGTTTTAGCTGCCCTTAAGATTCAATGATACCTTGGTACTAAGACAGCTTCGGTACACTGGGATGCTGGAAACAGTTCGAATTCGCCAATCAGGATATAGCTCAAAATATTCTTTCCAGGTTATTTGCTTCTATAATATATTTACATGAATATATATAATATTTTATATGAATATATATGTATATACATATGTATTTTGTCAAATAAATTGTTTCTACATGTGTTGCTTATTATATATTTTGGGACTTGTTCACATGTTTTAATTTTGCTATTTTTATACGGAGTTGAAAAAGGTTGTGGGTACTCACTCTTTTGGAAGGACAGCAGTCCTGTTGAACGTATACGTTGTGATAAAATACAGTACTTGGCTATTCTCATTGATCTGAATGTTTGCCATTATTAAGTGTGACCACAACTTAGTAGTTTTCACACTGGTTTTTTTTCCAATAAATGAAATAATTTAGTCATAATTATCTAGTCAAATAAAAAGGCTTCATTTGGTTTTTCCGTAAGTTTTCTTAGTAAGAGTTTTTACCTAGGAAACTACTAGAGTGTTGTTACTCAGCAATCATTAGCGATACTGCTCTGTGTGTAAAAATTATATTGGAAGCTTTCAGGAACTGAGCAGTTTTTTCAGTATGGAAAGAAAAAGCTTGGTTCTCACTGGTGTGTCCAACTAGCTGCTGTATTTCTTTTCTCCCCTTACTAAGATTTCAGGTTCCTGTGAAATGACTTTTCTTTGGTTTTTAGTATGGCCTTCTAAAAAAAAAATAATTAACTTTAATTTAGTTTCCATTTGATAACATAATGTTTCAAACTTAGTATCTTTCCCCTTACTGTGTTTTTATAACTATATTTTAAAGAGATCTTTTTATGTATTATTGTATGTTTATGGGTGTTTTGCTTGCATATGTAGCTACACACCCTTTGAGTGCAGTGGCTTTGAAGGACAGAAGCAGTTGTCATCCTCCCCTGCACAGGGCACAGATGGCCGTGAGCAGCCGTGGATGACTGGACTCCAACCCCGACTGTAGGAAGAGTATCCAGTACTCCTAATTACTGAGCCATCTCTTCTGGCCCTTATTTAGATTTTAAAGTAAAAAATACTTTGTTTCATCCTATTTTTTATTAATAATTCTTCTTCTTCTTCTTCAATAATTTTATACATGTATATAATAATTCTGGTTACTCTCATACCTGCTCTTGCTAGCCCTGCCAGTTTGCCACCTTCTACTTTTAAAAGAATGATAAAAAAGACCCTAGAGTACCTTCACTCATGTGGCTCACTGCTTTCTTGCAGTGTATTCATATTCTTTCCCATTGCATTCCTTTAAATAAAGTTTCCTTTTTATTAAAAGACTGAGAAACCCATTAATAAAAGGATAGTCAGTCAGTTTAGGACATAATACCCATGTAGGTATTTAGTGATTTGATACCATTTTCTTTTACTTTTCAGGATTTTGTGAGCCACTTTCATGTGCTTCTTCCTCGAAATATTATTCCATCTAAATTTAACATTCAAGACTTCTTAAGGAAAATCAATATTAATCCTGATAATTATCAAGTTGGAAAAACCATGGTAAGTATATATAGCCTTAGTCAAAATTGAGAGTACTTTATACTTTAATAATAAGACCTGTCTTTGTCTATGAGTTTTATGAAAAGATAGTATGTATCAAGTATTACAAGGAATTTGATTAAGCTAAGTGGTTTTAAATGTTTAGATTTACTTATTGTTTGTTTAATCTGTTTTTTAATTTATGTGTATGTATATAGGCAGAGATGTGTCATTGCATGGTTGTGGACGTCAGTGGCAGAAATACGGAGTCAGCTCTCCTGTTTTACCATTTGAGTCCCAGGAATAAGACTGGAGTTTTCAGTCTTGGCAACAAGTGCCTTTACCCACTCTGCTATTTTGGGCGCCCATAAATTTGACTTATTAGTCTTATTGTATTTTTGTGTGAGTAATGTGTGACTGCTAGCACACCCATGGAGGACAGATTTCAGGGGTTGGTTCTCCTTTTCTCTTATGTTCATGAGATGATACTTACCCAGGAAACCCTCTAACTGACCCTAGGTCTTGTTTTTCTTTTTTTTAATGGCTTAGCATATAGGTGCTTGCTGTCAAGCCTGATAACCTGTGTTTAATCCCAGAGCCCTTGTGGTATGTGGAAGAGAACTGCCTGTTCTAGTTGTTATCTGACCTACCCCCGCCACATAAAATGAAATGTAATCGGTATTAGTCACAGAATTTCTGGCCAGTACTCTAGTTCTGACTATACCTTCAGCTGTGATTCAAATCATGTCGTAGCCTGTTGAAATGACCAACTTACCTTGTCCACAGTAACTTGTTATCTTTTATTTATATTTCTTCCTCTCCTTCCTTCATTTTTCAAGCAGAAAACCATGATCATCTTGGGCTTACTCTCTGATTTGTTTTGCCAAATTTCTTTTTATTTTTTTCTTCGAAATGATTCTCATATCTCAGCCTGTTTGTCCATTTCTGATTTCATTTTATTTCTGTTCTTTAGATAATTTTCTCTTTATTACCTTGACAATATTTTTTAGATTTAATTATCTTTATGTATGTGAATGCTTTATCTGTATGCATACCTGCATACATGAAGAGTGCATCAGATCACATTCTAGATGGCTGTGAGCTGCAACATGATTGTTGGGAATTGAACTCTGGACCTCTGGAAAAGCAGACAGTGCTCTTAACCATTGAGCCATCTCTTCAGCCCTACTTTGACAATATTAAACTGCTATTTTTGCTCTATTTTAGTCATTCCATTTAACTCATTCTGCCCATTAAAATCACTTAAATATGCTACTTTCTTTACTTTGACCTCATGCTTAATAGACTCCCGTTAAATTTATGTATCTTCAGGCATGGTGATGCATGCCTTTAATCCCAGCACTCAGGGAGGCAGAGGCAGGTGGATTCCTGTGAGTTCAAGGCCAGCCTGGTCTACTAAGCGAGGCCAGGAAAGGCAATGGTACACAGAAAAACCCTGTCTTGAAAAACCATTGATCATCTCTCACTAGGGGGTGCAGTCTTGCCAGGCCACAGAGGAAGATGATGCAGCCAGTCTTGATAAGACCAGATAGGCTAGGGTCAGATAGAAGGGGAGGAGGACTCCCCCTATCAGTGGACTAGGGGAGGGGCATAGGAGGGAAAAAGGAGAGGGAAGGTAGTGGAACTGGGAGGAAAGGAGGGAGGGGCCTACAACCAGGATATAAGTGAATAAATTGTAATAAATAATAACTAAATAAAAATTAAAAAAGAAAAATGTATATATTTTCTTTACTCATACTGACTGCTTCTCCTTATTGTCTGGGCAGTAGTAGTGTCTGTCTATAATTCAAACACTAGAAAGCAGTGCCAGGAAAATCAATGATCAAGACCGTTCTCAACTGCAGAGAATTTTAAGGCCAGCCTGGGCTAAATGAGCATTTGTCAGAAAACACAAGACGAATAAAAAACACTTCCATATTGTAGCATCATAATATTTAACAGTAATTTATGAAGAGTTATTGTTCAGGGGTTTTAGTTTTTCTAACTCCTGTTGTTGCTCAGATAAGATCTTCTATCTCCAGTCCTTAGTAGTTCACTCTTTAACTCTTGATATATAATATCTACTTGCCCTTAAAGATGAACCATAGCTGTATTTCAAGGAGATATGTCTAGTTTATCCTTTGTATATACCTGCTTTTGACTGTGGCGAGTAAGAAGTCTTTAATGAACACTAGATTTCAAATAGATGGTTATTCTTGGTTCCTTCATATTATAATCAGTTTTTAAGATCTGTGATTCTCAGTTCCCCTATTCCAACATTTTCAAAAATTGTGACATATTAACCAGTGGTATACTGATCTTTTACAGTGGTGATTTTTTTCCAGATTAGAGACAGTAGTAAAGCAAAAGTAAAGTGCAGACAGTAGTAAAGTGTTTGACAATGGAAGCTTGGTACTTTTTCTCATTTTCCCATTTCCTCTCTCATGTCCTAGTATCTTTTATTTAGTATGAGAGTGATTACTTTAGTCCAGGTGACAGAACTATTTTTCTGCACTTGATTTGCATGCCTGCTATTATATGTGTTTGTCTCTGAAAGCTTACCACAGAAACAGTTCATGAATAGTTTTCATTTCTTCTTAAGCTTTATCCCTTGTCTTTTTTTTCTTCTAATAGGTTTTCCTAAAGGAACATGAACGACAGCACTTACAAGATCTGCTTCATCAAGAAGTGCTTCGCAGAATCGTACTGTTGCAGAGGTGGTTTAGAGCCTTGCTCTGTAGGCAGCAGTTCCTTCATTTGAGACAGGCAACGATTATTATCCAGGTGGGATGAGAAAGTAATTCTTTGTGTGAGAGTGACTTTGTTTGACCTTCATTCAGTAAACAGAACAATTTTACTGTGAAACATATAAATAATAATGAAACTTTAGAGATGAGAATGAATCATATTCATTTTTTTCTATTTTATTTATTTTTCTTTCATATATTATATCCTGACTGTAGCTTCCCTCCCCTCCACTTCTCCCACTCTCTCTCCCCTTCTTTCTTCTGGATCCATCCCCCTTTAACCTCCTCTCAGAAAAGCACAGACTATCCAGGGACATCAACCAAATATGGCATGACAAGCTACAATAAGACTAGGCATATATTCTCACATCAAGGCTGGAAAGGCTGGGTGAGGCAACCCAGTAGGAGGAAAAGGGTGCCAAAGGCAGGCAGAAGAGTTAGAGACAGAACACCAAACTACACAACTATAACATATATTCAGAGGACCTCATCAGACCCATACCAGCTCCCTGATCTCTGTGAGCCCAGTTGAGCCCTGGTCAGTTGATTGTGGGCTGTGGGGTTTTGTTTTTTGTTTTTGTTTTGTTTTTCTTTTTGTTTTGTAGTGTTTCTGATCCCTCTGGCTCTTTCAATCTTTCCTCGTCTGCAGAACTTTCTGTGCTCTAATATTTGGCTTAATAAAGTCTGGTTTCTCTGATGACAGTTATGCTGGGCCCAGCACATCCTACAGGCACAGCAAACTGTGGAGCCCAGGATTTGTGGCTGGCTTGGTGTCCGAATCCCTCCACTTGAGGCCTTGCTTGGTTATAGAGGATAGACGGTTCAGGTGTTCCCCATTACTAGGTATCTTTGCTAGTGTCGCACTCATAGATTCTACGGAATTTCCACTGTGCTGGGTTTTCAACTCCAGAAATGCCCCCCCAATTCTAGTCATCTCTTCCAGTATTTCTGTCACTCCATTCTCTACCAATACCTGATTTCTTTTGTTCCTGTCCTCACTGGCCCCCAGTCCACTTGCAAAGCCTATTCTTTCTCCTTCTCAGGAAGATCCTTGTGTCCTTCCTTAAGCCCTCCTTAATACTCCGACTCTCTGGGTTTGTAGCTTGATTATCCTTTACAGCTAATATCTACTTATAAGTGAGTACATACAGTGTTTGTCTTTAGGGGTATGAGCTACCTCTCCCAGAATGATTTTTTTCTTAGTTCCATCCATTTGCCAGGAAATTTAATGATTTTTGTTGTTTTGGTTTTTTGTACAGCTGGGTTATAGTCCATTGTGTAAATGTACCACTTTTTTAAAATTCACCTTTCAGTTGAGGGATATCTGGGTTGTTTCTAGTCTGGCTATTATGAATAAAGCCACTATGAATGTAGTTGAGTAAGTGTCCTTATGGTAGAATGGGTTGTTTTTTGGGTATGTACCCAAGAGTTGCATAGGTGGGTCTTGAGGTAGATTGATTGGCAATTTTCTAAGGAAGAGCCATATTGATGTTTCTAGTGGCTGTACAAGTTTGCAGTCCCACCAGAAATGGAAGAGTGTTTTCTTTGCTCCACATCCTTAACAGCATGAGCTGTCAGGTGTGTTTTTTATTTTAGCTATTCTGACAGGTGTAGTAAGATGGAATCTCCAAGTTGTTTTGATTTTCATTTCCTTGATGGCTAAGGATGAGGAACGTTTCTTTAAGTGTTTCTCAGCCATTTGAGATTCTTCTGTTTAGAATTCTCAGTTTAGATCCGTACCCCATTTTTAATTGGGTTATTTGTTTGTTGATGTCTAGTTTCTTGAATTCTTGTATATTTTGGATTTCAGCCCTCTTTTGGATGTGGGTTGGTGAGGATCTTTTCCCATTCTTTAGGCTGCTGTTTTGTTCTATTGACAGACAATCTTTTGTCTTTTAGAAGCTTTTCAGTTTCATGACATCCTATTTGTTAATTGCTGATATCAGTGCCTGCACTATTAGTGTACTGTTCAGAAAGTTGTCTCATGTGCCAGTGTATTCATTTCTCTTTTCATTTCTCAAATCCTTGTAACACCAGACAGATTACTTGGAGTTCAAGGCAGCATGACAGCCTATATACATACAATTCCAGGACAGTCAGACCTACAATAGAGAGACCATGGCAAAAAGAAAATACATAAATAAAAAGAAAGAAAATAGAACTTACTAATTCGCAGAGCATGAAAATATATAAAAAATTTAAATTGTACAATTAACCTCATCTAGGTTATATTGCTTAAAATAAGATTTTTTAAATTTTTATAGAATGTTTCCTGTTTTTGAAATTTTATTTATTTATTATAATTTATTCACTTTGTATCCAGCTGTAGCCCCTCCCTCATCCCCTCCCAATCCCACCCTCCCTCCTTTATCTCCTCCTATGCCCCTCTCCAAATCCACTAATAGGGGAGGTCCTCCTCTTCTTCCATCTGACCCTAGCCTGTCAGGTCTCATCAGGACTGGCTGCATCATCTTTCTCTGTGGCCTGGTAAGGCTGCCCTCTCCCACATGGGGGAGGTGATCAAAGAGCCAGCCACTGAGTTCATGTCAGAGACAGTCACTGTTCCCATTACTAGGGAACCCACTTGGACACTGAGCTGCCATGGCCTATATCTGTCTAGGGGTTCTAGGTTATCTCCATGCATGGACCTTGGTTGGAGTATCAGTCTCAGAAAAGACCCCTGTGCCCAAATTTTTTGGTTCTGTTGCTCTTCTTATGGAGCTCCTGTCCCCTCCAGGTCTTTCTGACTCCCCCTTCTTTCATAAGATTCCCTGCACGCTAGCAACATTTGGCTATGACTTTCAGCATCTGCTTTAATAACCTACTGGGTAGAGTCTTTCAGTGGCCCTCTGTGGTAGGCTCCTGTCCTGTTCTCTGTTTTTTCTATCTTCCAATGTCTATCCTGTTTTCCTTTCTGAATGAGGATTGAACATCTTACTCAGCGTCCTCCTTACTTAGCTTCTTTAGGTGTACAGATTTTAGTATAATTATCCTATATTATATGCCTAATATCCACAAGAATTTTAAAATTATTATTATTTATTACAATTTATTCACTTTGTATCCCAGCTGTGGCCCCCTCCTTCTTTATCTCCTAGGCCCCTCCCCAGTCCACTGATAGGGGAGGACCTCTTCCCCTTCTACCTGACCCAGCCTCTCAGGTCTCTTCAGGACTGGCTGCACTGTTTTTCTCTGTGGCCTGGCAAGGCTGCACCCCTCTCCCCCAGGGGTAGGCGTTCAGAGGGCTGGCCATTGAGTTCATGTCAGAGACAGCCCCTGTTGCCCTTACTAGGGACCCCACTTGTAGACTGAGTCTTTGGGATACATCTGAGCAGGAGTCTTAGATCCTCTCCATGCATGGTCCTTGTTTGGGGTATCAGTCTCTGCAGGGCCCCAGGGCCCAGTTTAAAATAAGAAGTTTTGATAAATAAGGCTTTTATTTGTTTTCTAACGAGCCAAGATTTTACTTATTACTTTACATTTTAAGTATTCTTGAATAATAGTGTTACCTGAAGTTTTTAGTTTTTTGCCATAATCCTCAACATCTTCGTGGATTTTTTTTTTTCTTGGTGAATTTTTGCTGAGGCCTTTCTGTTCTCTTAGTTTCTTGTGTTCATCAACCTCAATAAGGTTGATTGAGTGCTTAGCATAAAGGGCCTCCATCAGCATGGCACATTTAGGCTCATCAGTGGTTGCAAATCCCTAACAGTGGGCATGGTACTTGCTTAAGGCTTTGGCATCTCTGAAGATCCTATCTGTTACGGCATTTCAGTCTTAGAGGTGATCTTCAGCACCTCTTGTAAAGTAGTACTAGTCTCCATTAAACTTATAGCAGCAGTGCCCTCTGAGAGCTCAGCGGCAGGTTATAGGTGAGACCAAACCCAGAGCACCAGCACAATTATAGTTATTGTTATCATTATTATTAATATTATCTTCCAGCAGTTTAGCTACTTATATACTGAAAGTACTAATGACATAGACATTTAGCCTTGTTAACCTTTTTTATGAAACGAGTAGTAATAGCCATTTTCTCTTTTCTTTCCCTTTAGCGATTCTGGAGGAATTACCTAAATCAGAAGCATATCAGAAATGCAGCTATGGAGAAAGATGCTTTCGTAATGGCTAGTGCAGCTTCTCTTCTCCAGGCTTCCTGGCGTGCTCACTTAGAGAGACAGCGATACTTGGAGTTACGAGCTGCAGCTGTCATCATCCAGCAGCGATGGAAGGAACTCTATAGGAGCAGGCACAAGGCTGCTACCTGTATACAGGCAAGATGGAGGGGCTACAGGCAAAGTAAGAAGTACAAAGAACAAAGGAACAAAATTATCCTTTTACAGTCAATATGTAGAGGATTCCGAGCACGACAAAGGTAATCTGTGCTAATGAAACCGTTTTTTTTTTTCTGTTTTCATAGTTTCTTTTTTAAACCTGCTTTAATACTTTTATTATCAGTTATGTTTTTATCACTAGACTGTGATAAAATGCTGTCAGCTCTAACCTGTATTGTGTGGGTTGTAGCAGAAATTAAGTAAATGTTCATTGAATTAAATCGGGTTGGAAACTTCCATGACCTATGGTTATAACTGCTTAGAAAAAAACTTTTGCATTTGGTTTAGTCTTACAAATTTGGAAATATTCAACTTTTTTTTCTTACTTTATGAACACAGATCTCTGTTGTACTATATGAAAATAATGATATTAGTGGAACTTTTGTCTAGCTAACATTTTTCTAGATTATCTAGTTAGGAATTATTTATGTAAAGAAGAGGATAGGCAGGAATTGTGACACAGACCTTTAATCCCAGCAGAGGCAGGCAGACTTTTGTGAGTTTGAGGCCAGTCTGGGCTACAAAACAAATCTAGGAAAGCCAAGACTACACAGAAAAATCTTGTCTCAAAAAACCAAAAAAAAAAAAAAAAAAAAAAAAAAAAAAAAAAAAAAAAAAAAAAAGAAGAAGAAGAAGAAAATTTGAACTAGTACATCCAAGTTAGTTTTAGAAATACATAGATAAGTAGAGTGGTACATACTAGTCCTAGCTAAGTTTGAGGCCAACTTTGAACATAGTTAAGAATAGCAAGGCTCCACCTCAAACAGTGTTTCTATAGTAAATTTAATTATCTTCATTGGTAACCAAGAGCTATCTATAACCCACTTTGTCTATTTTTGTATAGATATAAAGCTTTAAAAGAGCAAATGCTGAAAGAAACAAAACTAGAGCATGGATTGGTGCATATCAAGGCACATGGAACTCTACAAATTCAGGGTTCAGACCCTTCTGAGTGGGAGGATTGTTCGTTCGACAACAGAGTAAAAGCCATAGAGGAATATAAATCTGTGATAGAAAGTAATCGAATTAGCCATGAGAGTTCACTGGATTTCTCAAAGGAGTCTTCAGAAAAGCAACAGGAGAAAGGCAGAAGCCAAAGTGGTACAGACTTGCAGGGAGATGTGGTTGTAAGACAGAGGCCCAAGTCCTTGGAAGATCTCCATCAGAAGAAAGTAGGTCGGGCCAAAAGAGAAAGTCGGAGAATGAGAGAATTAGAACAAGCTATATTTAGCTTAGAATTGCTGAAAGTCCGTTGTCTTGGTGGCATATCTCCTTCAGATGAACGCAGGTGGTCTACAGAGTTAATGCCTGAAAGCCTTCAGTCTCCACAGGGTACACCTGATAGTGAGAGCTCTCAAGGGAGCTTAGAACTTCTGATCTGTGAGGAGAACCAAAAAAGCAAACCTGAGTCCCTCATTTCAAATGAGGGAGAATTGAAAATTTCATCACCCAGTGTATCTACTAATCTGAAAGTTGGTTCACAAGATAACTCCCTCAGTGCCTCACGTGAGACTAGCTTTGCAGTGGCTGGAAAAGAAGCATCTTCTGGGGCTGCAAAGGAAGAGCTTGTCTGTAGTTCTGAGCCTATCACCTGTAAACCTCAGCTGAGAGATTCTTTTGTTTCAAGTAGTCTGCCTACATTTTTTTATATTCCCCATCAAGAACCTCTGAAAACAAGTTCCCAGCTAGATACAAGTATCCAAAGAAACAAACTACCAGAAAGAGAAGCCACAGAAGCCAGGAAGTGTCAGTTTTCAGGAGATCAGGTGATTTCTTTGAATACAGATTCTTCATGTACTGTGCTTAAGAAGTTAGAAAAGCTGAATACTGAAAAGGAGAAAAGGCAAAAGCAGCTACAGCAGCAGAATGAAAAAGAAATGATGGAACAGATTCGTCAGCAGACATATATCTTAGAGAAGGAACGTAAAGCCTTCAAGACAATTGAACAGTCACGAACGGAGGATTCTCTCTTGGCACCAACTTTTTATCAGTCAAGACAAAGAGTAGAGAGGCCATCTTCTTTGCATATTCCAAATACCCCAAGTAAAGTAGAAGCTGGTGTACTAGGTTCCCCATCAGCAGTCACTAAAAGAGATGCCGATCTTGCCACAAAAGACAATCCCTCCATTTCTTTACCCACAAAAGACCGACCTGTCACCCTGTTCTTTGAAAAAAAAGGAAGCCCATACCAATCTAGGACTGTCAATGAATTATCAAAGACAGAAAGAATGGGCACCCAACATAATGTTGCTGTTAAATTCTCTAATAATCGTACTACAGAAAAAGAGCACTTTAGGTCAGCTCACTCTTATGGCCACAGATCTGATGACTCTTCCAGAGACAGAAGTTCAAGAACCATTTTCTTCACACCAAAAGACAATACAATTATTCCACTGTAAGTGAAATTTTTATTTTCATCTGTTAAGTGGGACGTTTCTTTGTTGAAGTGCTTTGTGTTCCACCCTGTCCACGAGTGCTGCTCAAATCTGTGGGTTTTTTCCATCTACGAAAAGTATGAGTAATTAGACCCTAGGAATCTTTGAAAGTAGATAGCACTTTTTTGTTTGTTTGTGGGTTTTTTTTTTTTTTGCATTCTTCCTTGCTAATTGAAAAAGCATTTGTAAAAGGGCAATACAGTGTTTACCATTGTACTAGGCATTCAGCAGGTCCTAGTTGCTGTAGAGCTATGAAATGTATTGATCCAAACTATACTATTGTGAGGCTTTTCAGAACTTAGCATGTTTTGTCACACTGTTGGCTTATTTGTAGTTTTCAATAATGTCTTTATGTCTTTGGTGTATAATCATATGAAACTTATAAACTTTAAGTGTATGGTATAGTAGTATTAGTTGTATATAAGTTGTCACACAACATGTCTTTTTCATCTTTCAGTATTGAAATTCACTCACTAAATAGCTCTTCTCTTGTGGGCAACTACCTTCTACTTTGTGGTTTTTGGTTTTTGATTTTTGTTTATATATTTTTGAGACAGAGTCTTACATGTAGACCTTACTGCCTGAAACTTGATATGTAAATCATGCTGATCTTGAACTCACAGAGAATTTGCCTGCTTCTGCCAACTTGAGGGCTGGGGCTATGAAACGTGTTGTGCCACCATGCCCAAATCTGTCTTATGTTTCTAAGAATTGAACAGCTTTAGGCATCTATTGTAAGAAGGGATTCTTTTTAGTTTTTATAATTGTTTGCTTTAAATGATGATAACCACGAAATCGTTTTAACTCGTAACAGTCATGAGGAGCAGTTTTCTGGTTTATGGTTTTTGTTTTGCCTTGTTTTTTAAATTTTTAATGCTTGGGATCAAACCTGAGACATAATACATGCTTATCAAGTACCAGGCTTCTGTAGCTGGCACTCATTGAGTCATCTCCCCAGTCCAAGATAACCTCTTGCAACCCCTAGAGTTCATTTTTGAATATTATGTAAAAGATCGCTAAAGGGAAAACAGTTAACTTACCATCTACTGTTGCAAGTTACTATCTGTTTTGAACTGGTCTGATGCTCATAGTTAAGTCTTGACTCCCAAGGAATTTGTAATCTAAGGATGAATTTTAAAACTCATAATACTGAATTAAAGTAATTAGTCCCATGAAAATTTAGGTACTGTTTAAATTTTCATCAGATTCTGACACTGTTTCTACATAGAATTTAGTGATAAAACAGTCTTATCACAGAATTTTTCAGACAAAATTAAACTTTCACAACCCAGCACTATACTATAGTATCTGTATTGTTTGCAGCATACTTCATTTTGCTTAATAACAATTCTTATTCTGCCATTGTTCATATTATTCTACATAGTCTCAAGTTTTAATGTTAAGATAGTAGATGAAAACTTAGAAGTGTTCAGAAAGTGATATTTTTCCTAACTAACAAGAACCACCCCAGAGTAAAACAGGATCTTCATTACTACATATATTTTATGATGATGTGAAGAACCTCTTTAAGACAAGTATCCTAAAGATGTGAGGAATTTAGAATTTTCATTTTCTCATTAGTGAACTGGCTTTGGTTCTTAACCAATTTTGTTACTACCTCTCTCAAACGAAATGTTGCCATAGTGAAATGTACCCAGTGACTATCGCATGGGCCTCTTAAGAATTCATCATGTGTGTAGATTCTTGGTCACAGTATTGATTGGAGAAGAATAAATCTAGGGACTTGGGAGGTGCCTTGTGGAGAAGAACACTTGTTGCTCAAGCATGAAGGCCAGAGTTTGGATCTCCAGCGCCACACTAAAGCTGAGAGTGGCTGCACACAAGCGTAACCCAAGCTCTGGGCACTAGTGGACACTGGGGCACTGCTGGCAACTGCTGCTGACCAGCCTGGCCAGAACAGCACACTCCAGGCACCTGAGGGACACCAGACACCTAGTAACACAACAGCCCTGCTGGCAACTGCTGCTAACCAGCCTGGCCAGAACAGCACACTCCAGGCACTTGAGGGACACAAGACACCTAGTGTTGTCCTCTGGCCAGAACAAGTGCACTCCAGGTACTTGAGGGACACAAGACACATAGTAACACAACAGCCCTGCTGGCAATTGCTGCTAACCAGCTTGGCCAGAACAGCACACTCCAGGTACTTGAGGGACACCAGACACATAGTAACACAACAGCCCACCTGGTGTTGTCCTCTGGCCAGAACAAGTACACTCCAGGTACTTGAGGGACACAAGACACCTAGTGTTGTCCTCTGGCTTTCACAGGGTGACACACAGACACATACAAGTGCGTCCTTATATGTCCATGTATTGCATGCCTCATAAACATACACATTCTATATGAGAATAAATATAATAAATCAGGTTTTGGAATTGACTAAGATCTTAAATTATTTATAGAATTTGCTGGGCTTCTGACTTGTTCTGTCCTGTTAAATTATAATTCAGAGCAGGGTATAGTGGCACACAGGCCTTTAATCCTAATACTCAGTAGGCAGATTCAGGCAGATCACTGAGTCCAAGGCTAGACTGATGTTCTTGGTGAGTTCCAGGACAGCTAAAGCTACATAGAGAGACACTGCTTCAAAAAATATATACAATTAATGCCATACTTTAAGATTACTTCAATGGAATATCTACTAGGAATTAAATATAATCTTGTTATTGTATTTAAAGGGTATGCAGTAGAAATCCTCAAGTCCACAAACAAGATGAACCAGCTTGGAAACCTAAGTTAGCAGGGCCTGGGCAACAAGGGGTAAGTATTGGATCCCATTTATCTTTTAATTAGAATAGGTACACATTATTTTGGAATTTACTATTTTTGTAGGTAGAACACCATATGTACCCTTTTATTCTTAGGGGATTTTAGAGAAAGAAGCGGTAGGCTAGCTTTTATAATTAGGCAAGGAATGGTGCCTAAAAGTACAAATTATATTAAAAGAAAGAAGTTGCTAAGGCAAAGAAAAAATAAAGGACAGTTTGTTCAGGTGACTTTGGTGGCCTGTGGCAGTGAAGGGTGACTTAGTTCAGTACGGAGGAGAATAGTGTAGACTTAGCTTGGACCCTTATCGTTGTTCACAGTGATGAATATGGATTCTTTTTGGTCATCCCTGTTACTTCTGCTAATAGACAGGGCTTGGTGGGGCGGAGGGAAGTTTCCAGACATTCATGAGCCCTCTTTCATTGGCATCTTTTCCCAAATTACAAAAACAAAACATTGTTGTGTTATTTGTTTTATCATTTGGTCAAGCAGGTTGCCAGACCGGCCCATAAAAAGAAAGCTCGAATGGCGCGGACGCGCTCCGATTTCTTGACTAGAGGTACTTTTGCCGATGGGGAGGGGGATACAGAGGAAGATGATTACGATGACATTATTGAGCCCCTTCTCTCCCTTGACCAAGCTTCTCACTCTGAGCTAGGGCCTGTATCCAGCCTGGGTCAGGCCTCTCACAGTGACTCCGAAATGGTAATTTTTACAGTAATAAGAAAGAAACAGCAAACAGATCTGCTCGGAGTAGTCTTTGCTAATCTACAGCTAACCTTCACAGCCTCTTCCATGTAATGGCTTGTACATGAGAAGCCTCAGTGAACACAGCAACATAAGCTAAGTCTAATGTAATAGTACTCAAATTAGGGGCACCTTAACTGTTCATATCAAATGATAAATTAGCCAAAAGTAAGATTATTTAAATTAGCACTTGTTAGAAATGTTGATTATACCTTTAAAGGTCTAGAGTAGGAATCCTAAGTTTTTAAATTTTTTTTTATTTTTGTTTTTGGAAAGGGCCAGATAATAAATATTTTAGACTTTGTAGATCATGGTCTCTGTTGCTTGCAGATACTTAACTTGACAATTGCCATGTGAAAGCAATTAAAGACAAGAAGGTGAAAAAGGCCATGGCATTTCTAATAAGTATGCAGAACTGGTCATAGTTTTACTGACCTGGTATATAGAGTAAGATACTTACTTAATGAATTCAGACTTTAACTGAAAGACTATTCACTTAGAGGTAGGCAATTAGAGGTAGGGAAGCTTTTAAAGTTCCTGCCTTCCTTATGTTCAGTAATAGAAAAGAGACATGCATTTTATATAACTCAACTGGGCATGGTGGAACAGAATTACCTCAAGTTCAAGACCAGCTTGAACTATGCAGTGAGACCATGTTTTCAGAAACCAAAGACGAAGATGGATGTGGTCACACATTTATAAGTCTGAGGCAAGAGGATTGTCATGTTTTGATGCCAACATGAACTACATAATTGAAGGGTAGGGTAAAATAGAAAGCAAAATCCTGTCTTAGAACACTAAACGAAATGTACCTGTAAAACTCTGGCTTGATCTCTAACAAAGCACAACACATGTAATTTAATGAGGAAGATGTGCCATCCTGGGTTAACCCAACCAAATAGAAGGCTGTATATGGTATGAATTTGTTTAACCAGAAATCATAACATTTTAGTTAAGTTTGAATAAAACTATACTTATTTTGGCTAAGAATATAACTTGTATTATCATCCGAACCACAATTAGGTAAATATGTTAACATGTATGATTGTATTTGTAGATACCTTAAAGTGAAGAGAGTTTCATTCGTTGTACTGGGATAATGGCTACTAGGTGATGTGCTTGGTGCTCATTGTCCTGGGGTTAGACTCCTAGCATCCATGTAAAAAGCCAAGCATGCTGCTGTGAGTCCTCAACATCAGAGCTTAGATAGGAGAATCCCAAGGGCTCTGTGGTTAGTCAGCTTCACCACATGGCCAAGCTCCGGGATTCAGCGAGAGACTCTGTCTTAAAAACAAAACAAAAAACAAAAACCCCATAAAGCCAGACAATGTGACCTATGCCTTTAATCCCGGCACTTGGCATTTGGGTATCAGAGGCCACCTTGGTGTACATACCAATTGTCAGGCCAGGCTATCCAGGGTTCCAGATTGAGACTCTCTCTGGAAAAAGTAGAGCGATAGAGGAAGACAGACACACGTGCACACACGCGCTCACATTTTATTCTGTGATCGTTCTAGGAAATGCCAGTATAGAGACTCCACTAACTAAGTCTAATAGGAACTAAAACATTATGGTTGATGAAATAGTTTTGTTTTTTTTTTTAATTTCCCTATATAAATTGGTTCTCCAGTCTTTAATGTCTGTTCACTGTGGAAGTTTATGATGATCTTTGAGTCATTACATATTTGAGGTTCAAACTGTTAGGCTTGGATTATGTTTACACCCAATTAGAATTTCTTCAAGTTTCTAAAATATTCTAATTGTATTTATCTCTTATGATGGCTAGACTTCGTTTTTAAGTAGTAATGTTGACATTCTGTGGAGACCAAAACAAACAAAATGCAGGACATGTTGCTCCCTGAAAAACAAAATGAGTTATAAACCTGAAACTTGCAGAAGTTAGAAATGATTTGTATTCTTCTGTTAATGTGTATAAATAGAGCTCAGGTCTCTTGACTGTAGGATTTAGTAACTGTTATGAAGGTGCCCTTTATTTGAGTTATAAATAATTATATATGTATAATAGTTACAATTTTACAGTGGAACAAACAAATCTTACTGAAAAATATATTTTGATCTATTTCATATAGATTTATTGTTTATGGAAGAACTTAGCACTTTATAACTGTTGCTTTGTTCCTGAGTTTCTTTTGTGACAATCCTTAGTCCTTTCAGTGGTAGAATACTATTCACACTGGGAACTCTTGCTGGGATGAACCAGGAAGTTAGGCTTTCTGCTTGGAGCATTTGGCTCCTTTTGGTGTTTTAGCCTCTGTTCACCTGCTTGACAGTCACTGCATGCCTGTAGTCGTAGAACACCTTCCTGCACAGTGTGTTAGTCACCTCTAGCTTTCTTACTGTCCTCTTTTATCGTGTTTGAGGAACAGGTGGTGGTGCTGGTTGCTGGTGGATGCTTGCATGAAGCAGCTTTGCTTTGTAGAATAAGCTAGTAGATACTTGGTGAAGTATGGGTGTGGAGGGAGGGAAGGGATGGTTTTAAAATGTGTTTTTCTCTTGATCTTGAAAATGTGTCATATTTTAACATTCTTTCATACTGTGATGATGAATCTTACTGTTTATTCAGCGTTTTTGTTGGAATTACAAAGTGCACATTTTTTAAAAGTAAATCTGAGTTTATTGGGGACATGAATTTCTAAAAAATCGATTCCCCCCCCCTCCCCGGACGAATTAGTGTTATCACCAATATATGCTAACCAAGGAGTATGGCATTAGTTCTTAGCAGAAATGGCCATCTGCTCTTTTTATTTCTAAAGTTACTGATCTTGCAGGATTAAAACAATTGCAAATTAATCACCTAAAGGGAATTTGAGGTAAACATTATGTCAGGATGGTTAATTAATAGTCATTGATGCTGCAGGGGAGGGTAGGCAGGAGTTACAGTTCTACCTCTGGGATTTTTATCCTCTTAAATACCCCCTGTGTGCTGTCCTCCCTTGGTTTAAATGTCTACCACCTTGCTGTTTACCCAAGAAGGAAAAAAAGAGCATATTCTGCTAAGCTACATTTTAAAGATGACTTTCTGTATATCTTCTATATGATGAATTAGTAAAATTGTTTATGTTCCTTATCTATGAGATTAGTACAGGAAGCATACCTGTCTACACTTAAGTTGTTTATTTGTTTGTTTTCCTTGCCATTATCCAGATTTAAACCACCTAAAAATAATGCTATTGTTGTGGCATAGTTCCTTGCTAAGGTTTTTTTTTTTTTTTTTCCGTTCTTTAGAGAAGTTGTTCTTTTTTGTTTGTTTGTTTGGTTTTTGAGACAGGGTTTCTTTGTGTAGCCTTGGCTGTTTTGGATCTCTCTTTGTAGACCAGGCTGAACTCGAACTCACAGAGATTCAGATTCATATGCCTCTGCCTCCCAAGTGCTGGGATTAAAGGAGTGCACCACCCATTGGCCAGGAAGTTGGTCTTTTAAAATGTTATTGGTAAACTTCACTTTTTGTTGTTTATGAAGTTATTCAGGTCATCTAACTTTAAATATTTATTTGCATAGAAGTCTGGAACATGATTTCTTACAACTTTTTTTTTAAAAAATCACTGTGTGTAAGTGAGTACTTCCCTCCCCCTTGTGTTTTATGACAGTGTCTCACTATAGCTTGGCTGGGCTGAAACTTGCTATAGTAGACCATGCTGGTCTGGAACTCCTAGAAATCAATATATTGCATGTCTGACAAAGAAAAAAAGTTCTGCTTCCTGAGTGCTGGTGGTAGGCCTGTGCCACCACACCCACTTGACTGTTTCTTATATTTTAGATTAGTGTTTATTTTTAAGTTAGCTAGATTTTCATAACTGTAACAAAATTACCTGAAGTAACAGCATAAATGATAGATGTAGTCACGTGGTTCTGTTGCTTTGGTTTTATGACAAGCCAGTATATATCCTTTGTGATGGCTGACAAGGGTAAGGGTGTGTCTTCCCAAGACATGTCCCATCGCCTAGTTCCTCCCACTAGGTCTGCCATCACATTATGGGTATATCAATGGACTGATAATGATATAGTCACCTTCTTCAAGCCCTGTGTCTAAACACTGTTGCTTTGATATCTTAAACAAAAACCTTTGAGAGTCATACCATTTCCAAATTATAGCACATCGCTGTCTGTCTCATCTTTTCCGAAGAGCTATAATTTTTATTTATTATGCTTATTTTTTGTTTTCTACTTCATTGGTTTCTGATTTTATCTTTATATATCTAGTGCTTATAATTGGTGGGATTTATTAATGAATTCTTTGCTATCTAATGCAATTTTTGTGATGAACCATAAGTATTTGATAAAAGTACTCTGCTCAGTGTGTAAAGTTTCAAAATATGCTCAGCATCTCTAGTCCTCAATGTCTTCATTATATTTTGTATACCTAGCTGTCTCAGGCTGAGAATGGTAGGATAAATCTTCTATTCCTTCTTAATTGTGGCTTTTAATATTTAAAGAAGTTCCCTCTCACATTGAATGCTTTTTATTTTTAGTTCTTGTTAATACCTGTTTCTCTTTCTTTACTACTTCCATTTACTTGATAGACTTTTGCTTAACCCTTTCTTTTATCCTCACTTAGATGTTTCTATATAGTTGAGTCCTACTTTGAATAAAATTTAAAGTATTTTCCATTCATGGGTGAGTCAGGTCTTTATTGATCTGATAGGTCAGTTATAACTTTTTATTTTTTACAGGATTGTTCCACCATACCCAACCTAATCAGTTATCAATAAGTAATACCCTATTAATTCACATCTGTGACACCATCAGTCATTCTGCTCTCATCTTCTTTATATCTGTTTTGGGAGCTTTTTTCTTTGTCAGAACATATACTTTAATATTACCTTGCTCTAAGTCCTAGCTTTGTGTTCACCTTTGATCTGCTAAATTTATTTATTTAGATGAAACTCTTCTAGCAGACTGTAGTTACTCAGGAAGGATTTTTAAATATTCAATTTTATGACTTTTATATATAGCCTTGATATTTGAGGAATCATCATGACTACATTAAATCTTTGATTTAGGGGCTGTAGAAATGGCTCAGCAGTTAAGAGCACTGTCTGCTTTTGCACATACATCATGGCTTTCAAAAGCCCATCACCTCAGTTCCAGGAGATCCTAGAAAGCAGGCACACTGTGCACATGTCATGGATTCAAGTAAAACATCTGTGCCCATAAAGTAAAATAAATTTTCTTTAATTAAAAAATAGATCCATAATTTTAAAATCCAGATTTTAATTCAGTGGTTCTCCATTGCTGTCCCTGAGTTTTTTGAAAATGTTGTTTTATTGGTATCTTTCTTTATGTAGTATTCTCTATTGCCATTCTAACTCTCTTGTATTAGGATTCATTTGATCTCTTAGTTTGGAGGTTCTCAGACTTCTTGTGTAAGTGTAGGATAAGATTTCAAGTTGATCATTATAGATTAGTGATCCGTTACATCTACTAGACTCTTTATGTAAATGCTTGTCTTATTTTGTCTTTTGAAAAGTTATCTTTATATTTACTAGCCAAGTTCCATTATTTTGTTTCTCTTGTTTAGGAACTTCAGGTATTAATAATGGTTTTTGCTTTGTTATTTTGTTTTGTTTTTTTTTTTTTATTTCTTTCTTCTTTGCCTGTCTTGTTTTACCTCTGATGGTTTTTTCCTCCCTTATTATTTTTATTTTATATTCTTTATTATTTTCTCAATTAAAATTTTGTGCTTTTTCCTTCCTTGATACCTTTTAAGTTATTTTCAAGATAATTTTATCTTTTTTATTGATTGCATTTGTTTTTTGATAGGTCATTACTTAGTCTGAAATCTTTATGCACTTTCGGTATCTGCATCCCATTACCAGTCATCTTCAGTTTTATTCTATACCTGCAACATTATGTTATTCTTTATCCCAAGCAAGGGTAAACAGTAAACCTCCTGATTGGCAATCTCTATGAATTTGAACCAAAAATAAAGCTTACACACATGCGCATGTGCTTTAAGTGCCCACGTAATTCTAGTGTTAGACTAATATTTGACTTTAATATTTTTGTGAGGAACATAGTTTTTAGGTAATAATATATTCTTTTGAACCACATACTAAGTGCTACAACTTTTATCCTTGTAAAATTGACTGTATGATTGCATTGTTATTGACTTGATAATATAATTAACATTGTAATTGAGGTCTATAATATAATTAACATTATAATTGAGGTCTAGGATTTACAGTGACAGGTACAGATCTTCATTTGACAGTTTGCTGTTTTGAGGACTATGTTTACAACTATGAAACCTATGCTTCAAGTATCAAGATTTCTTTAATATCAACAATTTTCTCATGTTTCTGCTCAATTTCCCTCTTTTACACTACTCTCAGAAACAACCACTATTCTCGAACTTTGTAGAAATGTAATTAGATAATATGTGGTAGGAAGAATTCTTTTGTAAAATTGATATTGAAGTGTCATCTCTGGAAGCTTGAGTCTTTTCCATAAATTTTTGTTTTCAATTTTCCTTTTTCATCATGTAGAGTATAATTATTACTATTTTAGTATCTTTCTAATCGAACAGCAATTCAATCAATGTAAATGGCTTGTTTTATCTTTAAGGAACATATATTTATTTCTACTTCTTTATGTTAAGGAACATATATTTCTACTTCTTTATGTTAAGGAACATATATTTCTACTTTATAGTTCTCTTTTTAAAACTTACGTAGTTTACATTGTGATTTTTTTTTTCTGGTTAGTTGAAGGATTTATTTTTTTCCTTTCAATTAATATTTTGTACACTATAGTTTTCTGGTAATATTCCAGAGCTTTGTTCTGGAAACAGTTTGATAATTTTCAGGGCCTTCAAAATCGGTAGACCCTAACAGTAGTCAGTTGGAAGGCAAATTATTCTTGACTACTAAGGCAAGTTCATCTGTATCCTTAGTGGCCTGTGCAGCATGAAGTTCAGGTCCTGGCCCCTGGGCACTGGCATTACTGCCAACCTTACCTTTAATCACTTCAGATGGTTATATCTTCGGTCTCCTGTTGTTTTCACATACAAAGCTATTGATTAGTACTAATCCAAATATGCAAAGGGAACTTTTTCTAGATCTACAGAGTTCTTCTATCTTTCTTTCCTCCCCAGTACTGCTCTGGTCACTTTGATTGCCATGAACTTTTATTTTAATGTGTTCAGCAAAAGATACCTCGAAAGTTTTACCTGGGTTCCCCCTCTCTTTGTCACAGCACAGAAACTAGTAACATCTTGAGGAATAAGTAGATGCAGGTGTAAGCCACCTGCTTTCTTTGTTTCTCACCAGTTGTCTTAAAACCTGCTTTCTCTGACTTTTTGTACATTAGATATGGATTTCCTGTATGCTATATTGGCCACAGACCTCTGTATTTAAGAACTCTGGGTATTGCCTGATTTTTGTGCTATAGTCAAGCATATCAAAAAAACTAAAGGATATTTTCACAGATGAAATACAAGAAAATTAGTTGAATGAGTAACAAGAATTCTCAGAATTAATTGTCCTTAGAGGGGGTACACTAATTGTTAAATGAAATTGAAGTGCTAGTTTGATGACATAAATTGGTTTTTCTTCTGTGTGACCTGGGTTTTTTGTTTTTTTGTTTTTTTTTTTTGTTTTTTTAATTTGAATGAATATAACAATAATCTGTAACCCATAAAAAGAATCCCCACCTTGAGGTACAAATAAAAAGAGGTGTAAAAGATAATAATGTTATCATATTTCTTAGCCTCAGATTTTTCTGAGTTTATTTTTGAATGGTCTTGACTGTCTTCCTAACTTACCTGATGAGATTCTTGCTAACTTGCCAGGAAATGTGAACTGAAGGTTACTGAATTCAATCATGCTATAATACATTTACTTGGTTTTAAGTCTTTCCATGTGTAATTCCTACAGACATCACAACGATTTTCTTCAGTTGATGAACAAGCAAGGCTCCATAAGGCTATGTCTCAAGGAGAGATTACTAAATTGGCAGTAAGACAGAAGTCTTCAGATTTGGACATAAGGTATGACATTAATTTTTTAATTTTTTTTTTCATTTATTATGATTTTACTTGCAGTGGTGTTTTGCCTGCGTGTGTGTCTATGTGAGGGTGACAGGTCCCCTGGAACTGGAGTTATAGACTGGAGTTATATGCCTACCATGAGGGTGGTAGGCATCAAACCTGGGTCCTGTGGAAGAGCAGCCAGTGTTCTTAACAGCTGAGCCATCTCTCTAGCCCTGAATAATATAATAACTTCAGTGATCTCATTTCAAAATTGATACATTGAGTTTTTAAATTAAGGAAATTTGCTTTAAAAAAAAAAACACTTTACAATCAAGCTCTCTTTATTTCCCTTTGTAGACTAAGCCTTGAATTCATAGGCCTTGGACTCTGGCAACTAACCTTTCCATTCACATACAGTGTGCTTCTCTTGTAGAGCAGGCTGGTGCTTCATTTGGCATTGTTTTTTCTGGTCATTTTCCTTCACCTATTTCAGGAAGCTGTCTCCTGGAGTGCTTAATAGGATCAACTCTTGCATCATCTCTCTTTGCAAGAATCTTGCCCTTATCTTGCTTGTTTATAATGATGCCCATGACATGCTGGATGATTTATAATCTTCCTGTTTCGCCATGCCAAATTGTGAGGCATTTCTTTTTTAACAGTACTCATTCCCTTGATGTCTGCATTATCACCCTTTATAGATTCCCTTGTATGTGGCCAGAGGAACACCTCCATGTTTTCTAAAGGCCTAGGGCACACATAGCAGGTGCCACTCCACTTTCCCTTTGTGTTTTTCACTTTGGTGTATTACTGGAAGATGGTGCCATGCCCCAGCAGCTTTTCCTTTAAAATGTAAGAAATAAGTAACAGTAGTACCAAGCACTTTATTATGCTGAGATATATATGTATATATATCTTGTGTGGATAGCAGTATGATTGGGGGAAGTTTCTTAATCATTAATAATACTGTATTGTAAAAAGAGAAAGATTAGATAGGATGAGATTGATTTAGCTTTGGACTTGTGATATATTCTGCACTAAGTGCTTTAGGAGAATATTTTTGAGTTCTAGGACAGCCAGGGCTTTGTTACACAGAGAAACTCTGTCTCAAAAAACCAAAATGAAAATATTTTCAGAAAATAATTTTGTTCTTTTGGAGTGCTCGTTGGGGAGCTGGGGTGTAGCTGCATGTAGCACATAAGAGGATTTACTCTGGAAGATTGAGGACCTGAATTAAGGAAATACCCACACACAAAAGTCTGGTGCTAAAGAGATGGCTTAGCAGTTATGAGCACATACTGTTTTTTCAGAGGACCTGTGTTCAGTTCTCAACATCCATATGGTGGCTCAAAATTGTTTTTAACTTCAGTTTCAGAGACTCCAAAGCCCTAATGTGACCTCCAAGGATACTAGGCCTTCTGTGGTGCACATACACACATGGCAGGCTTTTAAAGCACTCATACTCCTACCTATTTGTGTGTGTGTGTGTGTGTGTGTATGCGTGTGCATGATCATGCTCACAGCTGTAACCCCAACACTTTGGAAGGAGTAGAGACAGGAGCATCACTGGGGCTTGCTAGTCAGTAGTGTAGGCTCCAGGTTCAGGGTATAAGAGAAGAGAGTGGTAGAGCAGGACACCTAACATTCTCTGTTGGCCTCTAGTACACACAGGGATGTTCATCTGTATACACAGGTTTTTGTATATGTATACACCCATACACACAGAATTCATGGACTTCTTATTTTTAATTAGACATCTTTAAAAAAATTATATAAGCATTTGGACCCTGTCTAAAGAAAGATGTCAAGCTATGTTAAAGAGAAAAAAAAAAATCTTAATTGTAGAACACTTTTTATAGACTAAGAGGGATTTACAAGGGACTTAAGACCAGTAAAGATTATACCACAAATAAGAATTGAAAAAGAAGATTGAATAGATTAAAGGGCATATAATTAGAGATAGTTAAATACGTAAATTTAATTTTCATTTCATTTGCCCAAATGACCACAAAGGATGAAACAAAAGAGAAAAAAATCAAACATGTAAATGTCTTAGTAGATGAGGAAAGACTCAATATTAACCAAGTAGGTGAAACTGAGAAAGACACATATAGGTGGCTAACTGGCCCTCTCTATTCTTAGCAGAAAATAATGAACTATTTTTTAGAAAAAGATAAAAATAGAAGATCTCCAGACTTAAGCTTACCCAATATTCCACCCCAGACAGTTTTTCTCTGTATCTTTGGCTGTCTTGGAACTCGCTCTGTCGACCAGCCTGGTCTCGAACTCACAGAGATTCACCTGCCTCTTGCCTTCCATGTGCTGGGATTAAAGGACTACACCACAACTGCCAGCAAGTTTGCCCAATATTTTTAAGGTGTGGGCCAAGTATTTGGGTTCTTTTTATTTTTATTTTTAATGTTTGTGTGATGTGATGCATGAATGTACTGGTATATGTGTGCTTGAGTGCAGGTGTATGTATGTGAAGGTCATAGGCCATTCAGGTGCTAGCCACTGTATTTCGTGAGATAGGTTTGTTACTGAGTTCTTGGGCTTGCTGGTCTGGCTAGTCTGGCCAGCAGCTAGCTCCAGGAATCTCCCTGTCTCCACCTCTGCAGTACTGGAATTATAAGCCTGCAAGGCCACACCCAAGGGCTCTGGGGACTGAACTGAGGGTTTCATGCAAACACTTTACCTATTGACCTATCCCCTGTATTTTTTTAAATGAATTTTACACATTAAATGCTTAAATCTCTCAGCTCTTTCCTTTTCTTTGCTAAGTAATGTTTTTATACCCTTTGAGCAGATGGTTCAAAGAGTTTTGGGGACTTTGTTCATCTGTTGAGGAACAGTTAGAAGGGATTTCCTTGCAAAATTGACCAGCCAGATAACCCTATAAGGAAGACATGGTTTAGGAGCTCTGCTAGTGCACACTAGAGCTTCCAAGCAACACTTTAAACCTCATGTTTAGTCATAATTAGATATCAGTGATTACCATACATTTAAGAAAAACGAAAATTTACAAGATAGAAAACTTCAAAACCAGTAGATATAATTAATAATGAAAATTCTACATAAATCAATATAGCTGAAACAAAACTTTATGAAAAAAAACATAATTTCTGAAAATTAAAAATGATAATGGGTTAGAGGCTAGCAGCTTAATGGATAAAGTGCTACTAAGCAAGTATGAAGACCTGAGTTTAGATCTTCATCACTCACATAAAAATCTAGGTATGTCATTCAGAAAGACAAACAGGATGGACATTGGAAGAAGGAGAAAACAGGAAACAGAACAGGAGCCTACCACAGAGGGCCTCTGAAAGACTCTATCCAGCAGGGTATCAAAGCAGATGCCGAGACTCATAACCAAACTTTGGGCAGAGTGCAGGGAATCTTATAAAAGAAGGGGGAGATAGTAAGACCTGGAGAGAACAGGAGCTCAACAAGGAGAGCAACAGAACCAAAAAATCTGGGCACAGGGGTCTTTTCTGAGACTGATACTCCAACCAAGGTCCATGCAGGGAGATAACCTAGAACCCCTGCACAGATGTAGCCATGGCTGCTCAGTTTTCAAGTGGTGGCCTAGTAAGGGGAACAGGGGGTGTCTCTGGCATGAACTCAGTGGCTGGCTCTTTGATCACCTTCCCCTGAGCAGGGAGCAGCCTTGCCAGGTCACAGAGGAGGACAATGCAGCTAGTCCTGATGATACTTGATAGGCTCGGGGCAGATGGAAGGGAGGAGGAAGACCTTCCCTATCAGTGGACTTGGAGAGGGGAATAGGAGGAGATAAAGGAGGGAAGGTGGGATTGGGAGGGAGTGAGGGAAGGGGCTACAGCTGGGATGCAAAATGAATAAACTAATTAATATAAAAAATAAATTTAAAAAAATCCAGGTATAGAGCTACAGCTGTGTCTCTAGTGGCAGGGGCAAGAAACAGTAGATCCTTGGAGCTTACTGCTCAGGCCGGTTAGCCAAATTGGTAAACTTCAAGTTCAGTGAGAGACTTCATTTCAAGAAGATGGAGAGTAACTGAGGAGAACACTTGGCAACACATACTACTACTAATACTACTACTACTAATAATAATAATACAAAATGGTAATGAGAAGGCAGAAAAGTAAAGAATATATCTCAGAAAGTTTTCCTAAAAGAAAAATACATAAATGAGATAAGGAAGTTCTAACATCAGTTTAGATAAGGAAGTTTAAAACATCAGTTACTTAATACGAAGAAAAAATGTAGAGGAGCAAACTATTTCTAAAATAAATTGAGCTGGGTGTGGTGACACATACTTGTAATTCCAGCATTCATTCAAGAGGTGGAGGGAAGAGAATATAAAGTTGGAGGTCAACATGGACAACATGGTAAGACTTTGCCTCAAGGGGGAAAAAAAACCCAATTCAACCAAATTTCATAGAACTGACGCCCCAGTAAGGACTGAAAACTGTAATGGATAAAAGTAGGCTTGTACTTGAAAAGGTATTTCCATTGTAACAGTAAAAGTAGGTTGTCGTCATCATCACCATCTTCTTTTACTTGTCTATCTATCCCTCCATCCCTCCCTTTCTTTTCCGCCCCCCCCCATATATTACATCTGACTGCAGTTTTTTCCTCCTTTCTCTCCTCCAAGGCCTCCCAGCTCTCCTGTTGTGCCTCCTCCTGTCTACTCCCTCATTTCCTTTCAGAAAAAGGCAGGCCTCCCAAAGACATCAACCAAACATGGCATATCAACTTGCAGTAAGTCTAGGCACCTTCCCTCCTAGTATGACTGGATGAGGTGACCCAGTGGTAATAACAGGGTTACAGAAGCATCAGAGGCAGCCCTGCTCCCACTGTTAGGAGTCCCAGTAGAAGTCCAAGCTACACAACTGTAACATGTATGTGGAGGGCCTAAATCAGTACCATTTAGGCTCCCCGATGGTCAGTTTAGTTGCTCTGAGCCCCTATGAGCCCAGGTTAGTTGAGTCTTTGGGTTCTCCTGTGACATCACTGACCCCTCCGACTCCTACTATTCTTCC